AAGGGGTCCAGGATACCTCCCACCTCCCCAGAACTACAGAGCTCTTTACATTGCAGGAGTTATCAGTGGAGTATGACCCCAGTCTCTCTGTTGTCTATCACAGTCGTGACCTACCCAGCCCATCTTCTGGTCCCAGATTACTCTGACATCCTTTACTCTGCTTCTGTAGCCACCCCTAAGTGGTTGCATTGTGTGGTGGTCTATTCACACCCCAAATAAGATCAAAGCTCTAACCAGGGACCTGGCCCAGGGTCCTACTTTAACAAGTTCTGCCCAGTACCACAGCCTAGCACACAGCTAAGAAGTAGGGACAACTAAAGCCCCTCCTCCCCTAGTGAAGGCTCACTTATTGCCTCTTGATTTGGGTTATCTCCCCAGAGCACAATTCCTAATTATAGCTGGCAATAGGACCACGTATATTTAGAGCTAGAAAGGGCTCCCTAGTACAAATCCGTCTTGTTATAAGTGAGAATAAAGAGGGCAGCTAGGTGGCGCAGTGGATAGAGCACCTGCCCTGATTCAGTAGGACCTGAGTTCAAATGTGGCCTCAGACATATAACACTCACTAGCTGTGTGACCCTGGGCAAGTCACTTAACCCCATTGCCTAGCCAAAAATAAATAAGCAAGCAAGCAAGCAAATAAATAAATAAGTGAGAATAAGGAGCAGAGGTTAAATTACAGGGTAACAGATATTGTAAAGTGCAGCAGCAACATTTGAAACCAGATTTTTTTTTCTGTTTTGTTCTTTTGCTTTTTGGTGAGGCAATCAGGATTAAGTGACTTGCCCAGGGTCACACAGCTAGTAAGTATCAAATGTCTGAGGCCATATTTGAACTCAGGTCCTCCTGACTTCAGGGCCGGTGCTGTATCCACTGTACCACCTAGCTGCCCCTGAACCCAGATCTTCTGACTCCAACTCTATTCCACCTATTTGCTTTATTTTACTGGTTATAATAAATTTAACAATTACAATCTCTTCAAATTATAAATAACAGATAAGGCAATACATTAGTATTGCCCTTCCTAAGTAACATTTTAAAAGGTGACTAAGAAGCCTTAAGCCAAAGGGATATTGATCTATTCCTCAAATATCAAACCCTAGAAAACAGGTTGGGAAAGAAAAAGTTGTCTTTTTCATGCACTTAAAAAAAGCCAATGACCATCTCATTCTCCCGGACTGAAACTAAACGTCAGTTTATGCCATTGTGGGAGCATCTACCACAGCAATAACATTTAGTAAGTTCCTAAAATGATGCAATTGCAAAGTTGCAAGGCACTAGGGAGATAAAAATAAAAAAATTTTAAAACCACAGTCCTGGATGACCAGGAATAGCACCATCATCTAATTTGGCTCCAAGAGATGCAAGGCAAACTAAAGTTGAAATAAAGTATAGTGAAGATTGGTTTAATTTGCCTTAATTATTGACTGCTACATAGTAGTCTAACACAATATTTGCTAATAACAAACTTTGATCAAAATTATATTACATTTAACTTTAGGGAGTTAGATTAAGCAGGGCTCAGCCTAAGGAAGAAAATGTATATATGCCGATAAGTCTCTTTTCTGAACCTCCTGCCTCTGTTTTTCTTGGCTTTTTTGCCTTTATTTTTCCCCCCGCTACTCAGGTAACCTCTTCCTTCAGGTTCTTCTCTAAATCAAAATTTACTGTATAGAAAAGAGCTCACAATCTTATTATCATTAGGGTGTAAATCACCAAGAATGCTTATTATCTCACTCTTGGTATATTCACATCCTGAAGGAAAAGAAAGCCTTTGAAGTCTGGAGGCTGAGGAGTGAATTGTTTTGATTTTGCTGAAGGTCTTACCTGCAAGGCCACCATCTGTCTACTTTGAAAGTCGGCACAGAGAGTAGTATCCGGTTCCGGTCCCTTTGTCAGAGTTAGTGGGCAATGTGTAAAACATGGTCTTTACACTGCCAACAGCATGGCTGGGGTTGGTAGGATAAGCAATCGTTCACTACCTCGGAGTTAGAAAACTTCCCTCTCCCTCACCACCCATATCCCATCAGATGCCAAGTCATGTCAATTCTACTTCCATATCTCTTGAATCTTTCTTCCATCTACAGGATGGCTACATTATTTGAGGACCTCTTATCTGGAGTACACCAATTGGCTACTCATTGGTCTCTGCTTCCAGTCTCCCCCCTCTCCAATTCATCCTCCTCAGCTGCCAAGATACTCTTTCTAAATCACAAATCTTACCTATCAGTCTCCTGATCAGAAACTTTGGGTGGTTCCCTATTGCGTACAGGATAATAATATAGCTAGCATCATATAGTGCTTACTATTTGTGTCAGACATTGCACTAATCGTCATGAATACAAAAAGAGGTGAAAGTCCCTGCTCTCAAGGAAGGAGCTCATAATCTAATGGGGGAGATGACATGCAAATATTTACAAAGCAAGCTATATATAGGATACATAGGAAATAATCAACTGAGGGAAGGCACTGGAAGTTTTGAAAAGGGGTTGGGGAAGGCTTTCTGTGGAAGGTGGGGTTTTAGTTGGGACTTAAAGGAAGCCAGGGAAATCAGCCGTCATAGCGGAGGAGAGCCTTCCAGGCCTTGGAATTAACCGGAGAAAATGCTTAGAGTCAAGAGATGGAATGTGTTTTTGAAACAACCAGGAGATTGGGTCCCTGGGTCCAAGAGTACGGGTTAGGGAGTACGGTGTCAGAAGCCTGGAAAGGAAGGAGGGAGCTAGGTTATGAAAGGCTTTGAATGCGAAAGACAGCATTTTGCATTTGTTCCTGGAGGCAATGGGAAGCCACTGAGGGTTGGACCTTCCTTCTAGGAATGGAGGATGGATTGGAGTTGTGTCTTGAGGCAGGCAAGACCCCTACTCCCCAAGGCACCCCCCCCCAGCAGCAATTGTAATAGTACTGTGTGAGGTGTTGAGGGCTTGCACTTCAGATTTTAGTCAACACATTTTTAAAAAAGAACAAAAAAGTGGATTGTATATGATTCAGTGAATTCCAGTTTCATGCAGATTAAGTGTATGTTCAATTTAAAAGTGTTGCTGTTTGTGTGTCCCCTTCCCAACTTCATTTCTTCTATTTTTAAATGTTTTATTGATGCTTTCTTTTTGGGGCTTATTTCCACCCCAAACTAACGAATTTTTCCCTCTTTAACAAAAAAGTATGACACAAATTATGACATTCCTATCTGTAGTTTTTAAAGATGGCACTTACTTTCATTTAATTGAATTCAGTATCCAGTTTTAAAAAGCACTTTATGTCAATACTGGGGGAAAAAATTGGAATCATACAAATAGTATGTATCTATCAGTTTTCTCCCCCTTTTATCCTTACACTGCATTTTCCACTCAAATACATGGCATTTTCTTTCTCCTAAGGTACTTTCCTCCGGCAAGATCTCCTTCATGTCTTCCTTCTTCCTCTGGGTGGTAGTGTGGGTGCCTCTCTGTGCCCTTTTTTCCCTTCTCCTTCAGACCTCTTAACAAGATCCCCTCCAGGGCCCCTCTGATCTCTATGCTAATACAAGGATACCATAGAGATCGAAGGAGAAACAAAGAGAAAAGACCCGGTAAGCAGCTGCGAGGCCTCCGTGTTGCATCCGTCTCTATGGAAACAACTACAGAGATAAATCTGGGAACAGTCCCACAGACATCAGCAATCCTTGATCTGCCCAACTTGCCAGGCCACAGTTACATGATCCAACGTGTAAAAAGGAAATGTGATGGCAAGATTCATTAGAAAAAAGGATGCGGCTTCCTCTTTTAGTGAATAGTGGGCTCTCCTTAGTGATCCAACCTTTTCATGCTGTCTTGTTACAAAAGGAATATCACATGGGTGCAACGAACCCATGAAACAAAGTCAAGAACTCAAAGTCTTGGACAAATACTATCTGCTGGCGCGCATCATTCCCATTACACAACTAAGAAAAAGGAGCAGACGTTCAAACTTGAAACAAGTATTTACTGAATCCCCGCGGAGGATGCGGAGGCGCACCAGAGGCCCGCGCCCGCCCGCTGGCTGCGCACTCCTGCCCTCGCTTCACTGGAGGGAGCTCCCGGGCCCGGACCTTGTCCGTCCCTACCCGCGGCTGGCGCGGCGCACCGGGCACTTAAGCCTCGGGTCCTTCGGCCCCTTCCTCCGCATTCCTGCAGCCCCGGTGGGCTCGGCTCAGGGCTCCCGTGCGCCTCCCCTGAGGAGCCTTGTGAGATTCCGAGCTCCGCACGCCCTGCAGCCCCCGGGGCCTGGGCTCTGCATCGCTGTTCGGGACCGTTCTCCCTCTTAATTCCGCTCCGGGGGTTCCCCGCTGCCCGGCACCGACCCGAGGGGGCCTGGGGCCTTCAAAGGTGCAATGCCACCCTCCATTTGGACACTGGCCCAGGTCCGTGCCGGTCCCTCCACAAGCTGGGGCCAGACTCCCCGGGTCCCCCTGGGCCGGCTGAGGAACCCTGGAGCCCAAACCCCCGACCGGAGGAATCTGGCCCGGTGCCCGCCTCGCATTCCACTCTATGGGCCTCAGTTTCCCCATCTGTTACATGAGCCAATTTTGTTTTCTCTTCTCCTGCAATCGGAGAAGACATGACAAGGCCCCTTTCGGTAACCGCCCCCCCCCACCGAGGCCAGGCCCAGGGGGAGAGGCACCACGATAGGGTGGCCCTCGGCGCGGACCGGCGGCCGCTCCGGGCATCGAGCGGCTTCGTTCCGGGCGGGCGCTGGCTCCAGCGAGCCAGGCAGCCAGAGAGCGACAGAGGCCACGCCCACCCGCTCCGCGCCTCAACGGGCGGCGCACGCGCACCAGGCTGGCCCTGTCCCGCGCGGCCTGCCTCGCGAGCCTGCGCCCGGAGTTCCCGCGAGAGCTGCGCGGGCGCCTGAGGCGGGGGGGGCTTTCGTTGGTGCCGCTTCCACAGCCCCCTACTCGTCTTCCTCCCCCCGCCGGCGCGGGCTCAGCTGCGCAGCTTCCCTCAGTCGCGCCGCCGGAGCCGCCGCCGGGAGACGGTTGAACGAGCCGTTTGTGGAGGGCGCACGCAGCGCGAGACGAGCGGCCGCCCCTGACCTCGCGCCTCCCGCCGCCGGAGCCCGCCAGCCCGGGTGTCTGAGGTACGACGGGGCGGGCGGCCGGGCCGGGGTGGGGTGGGGGGGTGAGGAGCCGGAGCCGGAGAAGGACGGACGGACGTGGGGGGGAGGGAGGGAGGTAGGCCCGGAGCGGGGCCCGCGGCGGACGGAGGCCTCGCGCCGCCATCTTGAGCGCGTTGGCGCGCCTGGGCCCGGCCCGGCTTGGCCCGCCCCTCCGGTCTCCACCGCCTCGGGTCCAGCGGCCGTCGGGTCCTGCCGGGGCCGAGCTCTGCCCGGAGGCCGGAGCGGGCTCCGTGGAGATGGCGCCGGGACGTGCCTCGTTCTCCTCCCGCGGCGTCCGGGCCCCGCCGGCCGCTTCCAGGGCCAGGGCCCGGGTCGGACCGCGAAGGGAGCGCCTGGGCGCGGGACAAAGGAGGCGGCCTCCTTTGTAATGCCGCGGCCCCCGCCCCCGGAGGATGCCCGAGGCCGCGCCTTCCCCGGGGAGGGCTCTGCCTGGGCCCTTAAAGCGACTTTGGGGAAAGTAACGGAAGCGGGAGCGGGGTCTGGGGGCGGCTGGGCTTTGTGGGGGCGGGGGCGGCGGCGGCGCGGAGCCGCGGCTGGGGATTCATTTGTGAATTCTGCATTTCAGTGTTTCAGTTAAGTTCTCCCAGCGCTAGGCTGAAGCCAAGGGTTTGAGGGATGCGAAGCACTTCTTTGAATACTTTTTAGGATGTTTCTCTGAAGAGTGCAACTTTTTAAGATTAAACATAGTAACATATAAATTAGGTTTGAATGTCAGGACCGCTTCTCCCTTTCCCCAATCTTTCTTGGTAATTTTTTTTAGCTTAGGAAGGAGCCAGCCTTCCTAATACAATAGCATTCTGGAGTTCTGCCCGGTCAGATGATTTCTGCTTTTTTATTGGGAAAAATAGAGGATCAATATAGTTGGCAGAAACATTTTTAAGAAGAATGGCTTTTGAGAAAACAAAAAGTGCCCTCCAGAAAGTCAGTGTTTCAGAATTTTTTAAGCATTACAGTGTATGCGTTCTTCCTATATTCTCAGAATAGGAAGGTATTTAATGTTTGTGCCAAATTGTAATGAGAAATCTTTAACCAAGAACTTCACTTTTAAAAGCAAAATACTTCTGAATGGGAAAACAAAGCAGGCTGTCCAAGATGGTGATTATGGCTTACTTTAAATAATTTTCATACTTGTGTATGTCAGTTTCCTTTTAAAAAAAGATTATCTCTTCTCCTTATCTCAACCCAATGGTCATCTAGTTGCTGTTCCTTTCCATTAGTTCTGGAAATTTCCTTGGTGAACTTGCAGCATAGCTTGAAAGTCTCAGGACTGGTTATTTTAATAATAAAAATGCATACAACTAGTGGAATTGTAGAGAAGATTGCAGTTAGCATTCAATAGTATCTACTGGACAGCTAAGCTTTTCGTGTTTATAGAAGACTCTTAACTTAGTTTACACACCTTATGTGATAATCTTGTCAAATCTGTAAGTAAATTAGCCCCATTAGCACTTTAGAATGATCCATTTCTTTTAAGGTCTGGGTGCCTGGATATACTAGAGTGTTTACCTTAAAAAACAAAACAAAACCAAACTATAATGTGACCATTTCCTTCAAAAAAGCAACCATGCTTATTTTTAAGGTGTTAGGGCTTCTTGAATTTTAAATTTTTCTTGAATTTCTGACATTTGATGTTAGTATTCCAGTCAGAAAGTTACTGATAGTGATCTTAAATATAAAGTAGAAGTGTGCTTGCCAAGTCAAATGAATGAAGAAGTTGAAAGTAGTAGACTTAGCTTTTCCAGTTTTATTTGTACTGAATCTTAATTTGCAACTAGAATCTCAGTCATCGAAACATTTTTTTGCTGCCAAGGGGATTTATCACGAAACATTCAGGCAAAGACTATTATTCTGCTTGTTTTTTTGTTTTCTGTTCCATACTTGATTCATGACTGGTCTTTATTGAAAAATTTGAAAAGTAAAGCCCCAGAATTTTAAAATTTGTAAGCTAGTTTGTGCTGAAAATCGGCAATTTAGGTATTTTAATGTACAGGTTCTCTGGTTATCTTCTCTCTCTCTCTCTCTCTCTCTCTCTCTTCTCTCTCTCTCTCTCTCTCTCTCTCTCACTCACACACTCACTCGGAAGGGAGGCATTCTTTTCTGTCAGTCTGTAGTGGGGAGTAACTGCATATACAAGAGACTGGCACTGAGATCTTCTGTCATTTTTGTGGCCAGAGCTCAGGCATAGTTGCTCCTTTTTAATGTTGGAGAACTTTGGGAGCTTTTTGTACCTCATTTGCTTTTTCCTCCTATTTTCCCCCGAAGTGGTGGCTGAAGTGGGATTTTTTAAATCCTAGTTTACTTTTGTATCCCTAGGAAAGTGTTGTGATTCTGTTTTCTTTGCTATTTCTTTGAACCAGTCTCAAGCTTTGTTGGAATTATATTATTTAGTGACCAAATACCCTACTTCCCCCACCTCCCTCCCGGGAAATGAAATCATCTGGACTGGCTTTAGAGATAACTCTTGTGCCACATCTCCTCTTTGGCCTTAACTTTTTACTTTTGTTTAGCTTTTGTCTTTGCACATATTTACTTTATTCTGAGACACCAGCTTGAAGAAAAATTTAAACAAAAAGGAATGCCAGAGGACTTATAAATAAGTCTTTATAATCAATTATTTGGCTGTTATTTGCGGTCTCCTGTTCTAGACAGTTTCTAAGAAAAGCTTTAAAAATCAACATGGGGCATATAATGAGGGAAAATGTTGGATTTTGGAGAAAGAATTGGCTTTATTTCTGTGTTCTCTAACACTTTTTTCCAACTGCTGCAGAGAATTCCTTTTTTCTTGTTTGACGGAGTTATCTGTACAGTGGACAGCACTAAATTTGGAATCTGAGGGAATGTGGGTTCAAATTTACCTCTTCTAATTGTTATGTTGGTTACCTTGAGCAAGTCATTTAGCTTCCCTGAATTGAGGAGATTGAGCTAGATCAGAGATGTTAAACAGTGGGACCTGCAGCACTGCCTAGGGTGGCCTGAATCAGATTAAATTGGAAAATATTGAACAAAATAAGTAAAAATGCAATAAAACATTAATTATGTTAATATGTGGTTTTGTTTTTAAGACAATATGTCACCTGCAGGAGCTGTATGTATGGTTTAGTGGCCGGTTGGTATTTGAGTTTGACATCATTGAGCCAGATGACGATTCCAACTTTAATTTTCAAATTTAAATTGTATACTTCCCAACTATGAGGCCTATGTTAGAGGTCCTTTTATAACATGTTTGTGAATTCTTATGGTTGTTAATGTCATTTGAATGATAGTGACATCAATATTTGAGAATGTTAGTGTTCCTAAACACAGCAAGTGAGTAAGAAAATGTTTAGGTGTTTAGGAAAATGTAATGTTTAGATGAATAGGATTTCTATGGTTGGATAGTAAAATTAGTAATGTGCAAAGTTTGTCTAGCTAGGAGACTTTTAAGTATCAACTATGAAAATTAGCCTTAGCCTGAAATTGCTAAGCAAGTTGGGGTAGGGGAGGGTGTGGTGTCTGGGTTTGAAGATTGGGGTAAGGCCAGGTCCACCATATAACAAAAGGTTACTATATGTATTGTCTTCATCAGCTTCTGAACTAGTTTCTTTGTAGAACATTGTATCTTTTTTCTCAGGTATTTGCAGAGAAAGAAATATTTGTGTTTTTAATGTCCAAAAAATTGTCATTTGTAATCTTTTAAATTTTTTTGATTTATATGAGAATTGCTCACAGCAGTCTTGGAGAGGCAGAAATCTTCATTATGGGCCCCAGAAGTTGTATATAATATTTTAATGTAACATCCTATTTTTTGGAAGGCAGTAACATTTTTATCAGTGCTACTAACCACTCTTCAGTTTTAGTTATCAGGTATTTGGGATTACTTTCCCTTTTTCTGAATTTCATCTTGTGATCATCCATAGTGTAGACTGGCTTTTATTACTTTCAAGATTTGTTATTTATGTGTTTGGAAATGTGATTTCTATACCTGAAAGTTTGGGTAGTGTGGGCAATGTGAAGAAAAAGGCTTTTTAAAATGGATTTACTTAATACAATGCATCCAGCCATGTATAATAGACAGTAATAGATTGGAGGAAGGGGGATGTAGGTAGAAAAGAAATTTAAAATACAAAGGTTATAATTTCTGTTGTCCTGATCTATTTCTTTACAAAGCAATTAATAGAGTGAATAAAAAAAATTGAGAGAAGCAAAATTTGGTTTGTTGGGAAGACCATGCTCATAATAATGGATAATAGAAGACACTGAACTAGGGCTTATGTAAAAAAAAAAATTTGGCCATATTTCAGTACATCACAGTTTTATTTTCAGTTTTTCATTCCCCTTTGTGAATTTTCCTTGGAGAGGGTGGGAATAATAGTAACTAATGGAATAAAGGAGATTTTGAATACCCATCCTCTTGAAGATATGTTACTCTAAGTTAGGGTGATGAACTTCCAATTATGACAGACTTTACTATTGGAATCTTCTTTAACTAATCAGTAGTGGTGATTAAGTGTACAGGTGAGTTTTGGGATTTTTTTTTTAAGGGCTTGTGGCAGAAGTATATTTTGACTCTTTTATGTCTTGTTTTTTCTTATAGTATTTAAATCAAACAGTTTTGAGATGGATTGGGTTATGAAACATAATGGTCCAAATGATGCAGCTAGTGATGGAACAGTACGACTTCGTGGACTCCCATTTGGGTGCAGCAAAGAAGAAATAGTTCAGTTCTTTACAGGTACCTCAAGTATTAGTCTAAGTTTAGCAGTAATTGAATTTTTATATTTGTATTGCATTATCAGTTTTTAATTTACCCATTTCTGTGGGAAATTTCTAATTTTGAAACTATAGTATTTTAATTTGTGTATTAAAGTATGAAATATGCTCCAGTTAATATTTCAATACAGAATATATAGAATTTATGAGACCTAATATCTAGCAAATTAGTTGAGGGTAATTTTGTGTGTTGAAATGAACCATGAATTAGAGTATGGAGCATAATAATTTGATTAGTAGCCATGGCTTTTTCATGTAATATAGGTGGGCTTAACTGTGTGTAATTTTTTTAAAGCACACTGGTAGAAAAAAAATTTATTAAACCCATAATATTTGAAAGCTCTTCAATTTATAATATTGGGTTATGGGAAAAACTAAGTTTTTTTTTTGTTTGTTTTCTTTAGTCTTGTTTTAAGTATTTGATTCAGATGGGAATGTTTCAGCCTTTAACACTGTTCCCCTTGATGGGGTTATTTGTCCTTGGGTTAAAGGGTTGGAAATCGTGCCAAATGGGATAACATTGACGATGGACTACCAGGGGAGAAGCACAGGGGAGGCCTTCGTGCAGTTTGCTTCAAAGGAGATAGCAGAAAATGCTCTGGGGAAACACAAGGAAAGAATAGGGCACAGGTGGGGATGGAGAGTTTGGGATGGTGTTAAATTTTTATTTTTGGGGGTTGTGGGTCACTAATGCTTATATGGGGGGGACAATAACATTTTCTGGGTTAGTTTAAAGAATTTATACTTATCCTAAGTTTAACTTGGAAACTACAGATTTGGGTGGGGAATTAATGCTATTAGTTTGCTAAATTAAAATCAGATTGTTTCCATTATACATAGGGTGTTCTGTGATAATACTATATCATCACCCAGTTTTCTTTAAAATACCTAATTTGTACTAAAGGAAACAAGTTTTAAATTTAAAATATTTACATTTTATGGTTTGTTTTCAAATGACTAATTTTTTATGTAAACTTTGTACACTTAAGAATTATTTTGAGGCTTGTAGGTAAAAAAAAACATTTAAGTTGTGGTATATCTAGGCATTTTAAATTAGATTATGCATCTAGTTATAGAAACAACTGTAACTGAATTTTGCCCAATATCTTACCTACAAATACATTTATGCTGAAACCTGTACCTTAAAAAATCTTTTTTGTGTAGGTATATTGAGATCTTCAAGAGTAGCAGAAGTGAAATCAAAGGATTTTATGACCCACCAAGAAGATTGCTGGGACAGCGACCTGGACCATATGATAGACCATTAGGAGGAAGAGGGGGTTATTATGGAGCTGGGCGTGGAAGTATGTATGACAGAATGCGGCGAGGAGGTGATGGATATGATGGTGGTATGTGTATCTAATGAACAAAAGGTTCTGTTGTCATTTTCTTAATGTTCCTGACGTTTTGTCAAGAAATACAGAAATGGCAGTAACTTCAGTACCTACTGAGTGTGAAAATCCATTCATGAAAAGATGGATTCCCATGGCCAGCTATGGGACTTGATACAAATGTTGGCACCAAGATGATTTTTTTAAAAAATGAAGCTAAAATGAAGATATATTTGCAGATTTTGACACCTCCTTTTTGGGGCCAGGATGAAATTTAATTTACATGTCTGAATTTAACCTGTTGGTGAATTTGAATTTCCACCTAGTGTTGAAACATCCGTATTTCGTGAGCACTAAGTGGGGATTGCAAACTTCTAATTACCAAGAGGTTACTTGGACAGTTACTACAAAGTAAGTTTTTGTAAACTACATTGTAAAATTTGTCATCCTTGGAAGTATATTTATTTATATCTCTTTAAATTGTGCAGGTTATGGTGGTTTTGATGATTATGGTGGCTATAACAATTATGGCTACGGAAATGATGGATTTGATGACAGAATGAGAGATGGCCGAGGTAAAAATCAGTGTTAGGTGGTCCTTTTATTTTTAAATTGGTGCATATCAGTTTCACATTTAGTAAACATTGATAAATTACATTAAGGGTTGTATTCATTTGTCCTTAAGTGGATAAAATAAAGTATTTGTAGGGGTTCTTCACTGGAGTCTATAAATGTTTTTTTAATTGATAACCATTTCAGCATGATAAATTTCCTTTGTAATCCATTGTATTTTATGTTTAAAATCATTCTGAGAAGAGGTCTTATAGGTTCACCAGACTGCCAGAAATAATCCATGACAAAAATAGTTTAGAATCTGATGTAGCTACGGGAATTGAGAATTTTGTAAAGGAAAAAATATGTGTCTCTGCTTGTGTAATTAAGGAGCACTGTTTTACTTGTGTGATTGTTGCTATATTCCTTTGGAAATTTGTCTTTTTCTAGGCATGGGAGGACATGGATATGGTGGTGCTGGTGATGCAAGTTCAGGTTTTCATGGTGGCCATTTTGTTCACATGAGAGGGTTGCCTTTTCGGGCAACTGAAAATGATATTGCTAACGTAAGTATTTGTGGGGAAATGCTTTTTTGCTATATGGTGTTTACTAAATTGAGGTTCTTTGTATCATTTTAAAAAATCTTTATACCCAACTTAAAAATGTGAGTATCAATAAAGGGTTTTTTTGCTTTATCTCTTCAACACAGTCAAAATGTTGAGTGTTCATTATGTGCTCGCTAAACAAAATGCTGTGTGAGGCTACAAAAGGAAAATTATAAATACAAACAAGAAGTCTGTATTTATACAAACTTTAAGGGCTTACAGGACAACATAGGAACAGGCTAAGTGAAAATGGTATTTTATTTCAGACTTAGATTTCCTAGAAGGCTGTGAATTAATATGGTATGTGCAAGTCAGTCTAAGTCTAAGTGTCAAGAGGTTTGACAGTGAAGAAATAGCTGATAGCATGTATGAAGAAAGCAGTTTATTTATATATCCTATAAATTTCAGGGATTATCTCCATTTTATTAATGAAGTTTGAAACAGTAAGAAGGAATAATAAGGTAGTTAAAGAAAACTAGGCTTGAAAGTAGGACACGACAATACATATTGGTACTAATGGGGAAATTTCAAACCTGAGTGGTTAAAACATTTTATTAAGTTCCAAGTTTGTCATAGTGTGGGTCATGTGCATGGACTTTTTTTCCCCTTTGAACTTGTATTAGAATTTATTGGTGCAGCTTAAAAGCAAGATAGTTATTTTAAGCTTATTGAAAGTACTTCGTTATTTTTTGATATTTGGTTTTGTTTTAGTTTTTCTCACCACTAAACCCAATTCGAGTTCATATTGATATTGGAGCAGATGGCAGAGCAACAGGAGAAGCAGATGTGGAATTTGTGACGCACGAAGATGCTTTAGCTGCCATGTCTAAAGATAAAAATAACATGCGTAAGTGTTGTCCATGGACTACTACAGTGTGCTTTTAAGCTTTGGAGGGGTGTGTGAGATTTTCAGTATAGTAGACTCACCTAATCTTTCTTTACATGGGTCATCAGTTTTCGACATCAGTATGATTTAGGGAAGCACACTAAAACTTGAAAAGTAGCAAGGTGGTTAATATACTGGCAAAGCTTCAAAGTGCAGTTAGCAGAATATCAGAATTTTACAACATACATTTGGGTGGAACTTGGACTGTAAAGTTCAATTAAAAAAACAAAAAACAACATCCTTGGGTTCATTGTAGAGTTCTGGAATGTTGGTGTTTCAGGAATTACTGCATCCCTCAATACAAGGTTACTGTCAGTCATCAAATCTCATAAATGCTATGGAGAACAGTTATAGTTCATTAGTCTTAGTGTTAGTTGGTGCTCTTCATTTTATTGATAATTATACAGAACTGCTTATCTTCAACTTGGGTATTTTGGTGAAGACCTTTAAAAAAGGTGCAGGGTATTTGGGAGAGAGTTTTCCTCTTAGAGATTACACTTTGTTGATCAAAGCCTAACCCACAATCAGCTCTTTAAGTTAGTCGCTTGAAGTTTTTCCAGTTTTCTGTTCTGGTTCACTACATACCAAATTGTTGGGACTCCAGGGTCAGAGATGACCATAATACACGCCTTTCCAAGCAGCATTGTTATTTTTCCTTATACAGTGACCTATGGCTTTTCAGGTGATGATGGATTTAGGAGTGGCTTCTGTGAGTAATATAGGGATCCATCTTCCCTGCTATTAAATTGGCCAGTTTGGGGTAGATTTCTTACAGACCTGGGTGATGGAAATGTTAGAACTGGAAAGGATGATCATGCAGTTGATACCTAGTCACACTCCCTCCTTTTACAGAGAAGCAAATGAGGCTCATTAAGTGGCATGGCTAAAACTAAAACATTTCCTTCCTGCTTTTTATTAAAAGAACATAGATACATCGAACTGTTCCTGAATTCTGTTGCTGGAGGAGGCTCTGGAATGGGAGCTTCTGGAATGGGAGGCTATGGCAGAGATGGAATGGGTAAGTGGTGTTTTAAATTACGTGAAATTTTGAATGTAGAAACTTGCTCTCAAATACTTTATTAAATCTTTTTTCAGATAATCAAGGAGGTTATGGATCTGTTGGAAGAATGGGAATGGGTAGCAGTTACAGTGGAGGCTATGGTACTCCTGATGGTTTAGGAGGTTATGGTAAGTCAGTCTGTCTTGTTCCCACTGTTAAAAGTTTTTTTGAACATGTTACATTAAACAGTTTTCGTAGCGTAACATCTCTGTACCTCCACTCCCATCTTATTTTTAAGGTCGAGGAGGTGGAGGCAGTGGAGGATACTATGGGCAAGGAGGTATGAGTGGAGGTGGATGGCGTGGGATGTACTAAAGAGTTAACCCTTCTACAACACATCCTGGCAAACCACAGCATCGGTCTACTAGACTTTCTTACGGATTTACTTTCTTTTGTATTTTAAGAACTTTATAATGACTGAAGGAATGTGTTTTCAAAATATTATTTGGTAAGCAACAGATTGTGATGGGAAAATCTGTTTCTGTAGGTTTTATTTGTTGCATACTTTGACTTAAATAAATTTTTATATTCAAACCACTGATGTTGATACTTTTTATACTAGTTACTCCTAAGGATGTACTGCATACACAAGAATTTGGTTGATGTCTTATTTACTACTGGTTTTAATAAAAAGGTGGTTGTAATGTACTCTCTCTCTTTTTTTGAACATTTAGTTCCCAATAAATATAATGTCTTAGAATGATGAACTAGTACTTTAAAAGGCTAATCAATTAGTGTTTACTTTGGCTAACTTTTCCCCTTAGTTTGCTTTGAAGATAAGAAATTCCAAATACTTAAATTTGAGGTGATATCGGGGAGCAGGAAGAGACAACTAGACAACTAATTGTGAATGTGTTGATTTCTTTTCCCAATATTGTCAGTCAAATGTAGCCATCTTGTAATATTCCTAACGTAATTGGTGGTATTTGGGCTTTTTTTATATAATGTGTTGAGATAAATTTTTTTTTTCTGAGGTTACTAGGAAAACAAAAAGCAATCTTATGTTTTAGTACAGATTTTACACCCTGTCCTTTATAAGACAACTGAACTTATAATTAATGTGTAATGTACTTAACATTTAACTACCCAAGTCATATCCAGCATATTTAGAAGAGTGAGTTAGAAAAATGGTAGGTCAAGAAGTTTGTGCTACATAGTGGGTGTTTGGAAATCCCAAGTGAAACAACAGGCACAGGCATTTTTCCTGAGGTGCCGCCTTCCCTTGTGTGAATTATCCTGATGATTTCTTGCCCTTTTGCTGAAAGCAAGCTTGCAGTTACTTTTTATGTGCAGAGTATTTCTCAAAAGGAAACAAATGTTAAGGTTAATTCATGTTGTGGTGTTAATGAAAACAAAACGAGTCTTGATTTATGTTTTGTTTCTACATCTGACACGTCTGAGATGTTAAGAAACACCTTTGTGAATACACTATGTGTGGTAAAGAAAGAGGTGCTTTCTACTTTTGTTCCTTTTAGTCAATGTGGATTTTTCCCCCAAATTTGGTAACTTCTCAAAAATTTTACCCAATACTGTCAACTGTGAACTCAGTTATTGAATTTTGTCACCTGTTTTGCTAGTAATGTTATATTTATGTAATAAATGTCAATGTGGGAGATAATGATGTTGCAGTCTGTTCTACAAGGATGTTTGTGTCACTGACTGAATCATAAATATGGGTTACATTGATATATACTTTCCTTCCTAAAAAATTGAAGAGAAGCCACTGATACATTAAACCTTAAATTTAGAGATGAAGAATAGATAACAATAAAAGTAAATTTTTTCTTCAGTTTGTGCAAAACTAGAACGATAACCAAGTGTGTTACAGGGTAGTTCATATGCCCCTGGGGTAGTGGGGGAAGAGTGGTGAACCCTAGCTTCTCACAGTTACTGATAAGTTTCCCAACACTTAAATTACCATTAACTACAGTTTACCTTATCAAAGAAAAGATATTTACTGCCACAGATAAAAACCCCTGAGGGCCATTCTGTTGAAGAAACTTTTATATATATATAAGTAACTAATCAACTTTTTTGGATTGGAAAAGGAGATTTCCCTTAAAGAAATTGTATATGTTAAGGATTATGATTTTTTTTTCAAGGCCTGAACTGCTTGACTTTAAACCTGAGCAAACCCTAAAACTGCCATTTCACCTATATGCTGTTTAATCTTAAAACTTTTTTATAAAAGGTTACAAAGGTTCCCTAATACCCAGTGACAGTAAAGGGTTTCATTAGAGCAAACTATTTGTATTATCTTTATTTACATTTACCAAAAAAAGTCACATTAAAAAAGCACTACAAAGTTAGAACAACTGTAGATAGATTCTTTGTGACAGCATTAGTGTGACATCTGTGGTGTGTGCCACAGCAATGATTTATCTAGTGAGGGAAGACCAAGCAATTTACCTAAAATATATAATCTTATGTTCATTTCACATCAAGGGAGAATATTTTTAAAGCACAATACAAATGTATATAAAACCAAAATGTGTAAGGTCAGAATGATACATGCAGTAATGAAGAGCTAAGAATTGCCTGATTTATGAACCTTAGCATGTAAATATGAATAGATGAATACTGTGGCAGTTCTACCGGAAGGTACCAAAAATCCTGTCAAAGTTTGGCAAATTACAGAATGTCACAATGTGATAACTGTAACAAGACAATTCAAAGTTCACTTGCCGATCATGACTCGACTTACTGTGTATGAGTAACATTTTGAGATGTTACTGAACTCTTCAAAGCACAAACAGCTTCATTAAAAATAATCCTTTGGGATTGAACTAGAAGTGGGCCTTTTTTCATAGTAATTGAGTAGCTCCCCAGCTACCATTTTAGGTAAAGAAAAGTAGAAAACCCTTTTGTCTACTGCAGGACTTCCAAACGGAATTGGTCTTTTGGGTTCACACTATTGATTTCTCAGTCGTGTTCCCAATAACGTCAAAAGTGAATTCGTCTGTGATCCATAGTAAAGTCATAGCAAGTGGAAATGTAAAGTGCTCTGCACACCTTTCAGAGTACTAGGTCAGCTCTGTTGAACTCAGCTGCATGAGAGTAACAGTCTGGAATGTGAAACGAAGTTTGGCTATAGAGTTCTTTAAGAGAAAGATGGTTCAATTAGGAAACTCCTGTTTCTTACATGATTTTATTAGTCAGGATAATTTAAAACCATCCTTAGAAATACTGATTCATTCTCCCTTAAAGGCAGCAATTTAAACAATTCTACTCTGACTGGCTCATGCTTAAAGTACAAGTGGGTTCGTATATATACTCAATTAACAATTTAAAGTATTTTGACCTGAAATGGTTCAAGCATAAGCTTCATGATAAACAGTTTGCTTCATACTCAATGATTCCAGTAGTATTGGTATTAAAAATACCTAAAGTGTATTTAACGCAATACTGCTAACACATTTTTAGGTTTACCTCAATACTGGCACACCCAAACAGGGGAGAAGAGAAATGGCGCTCAGGAGAACCTTCTATGAGTTTTGGTTCCATGTCAATCTGGGCCATCCTCACATTGGATATAGAAGCAACAACCGAGTTTCACAGCCATCGGGGATTCCCCTAACATCGCCCCCTTTTCATAATGACAAACAGAACTGGAACTTTCTTACACTCGTATAAAAAAGCAGGGGTGACTGGCAAGTCAAAGATAGAAAGGTCTGCACCAAACCTGACAGTTTGGGCTGGGAAAGACCTGCCCCCAAGTCCTAGGGAGGGACGGAGGTTGGTTAAAAAAAAAAGTGAAGCTGGGTGTTAACTTCCAACAAGTCTAGTGCAACAGTCCCCTTCCCCTTGGACAAAAAAGCTCCTGTTGGCAGTAGCAGTACCTACCTTATTAAAAGGTAGGTAAAAGAAGAACACTTGAAACTATGTTTTGGAGGAATGAGAAGTTGGCAGGCAAGTAAACATGATAAGTAATTACCCTAATATGCTATTATAACCATAAATATATACCAGGTCTTGGTATAACTGGTCTGTAAAATAGAAACCTTGTAAAATTGATTTTTTCTTATGCACAGTATTTTTTTGAGAACTATGAAGCTTATAAAGTGCATTTAAAAAAACTGCAGGCACCATCAAAAAATGGCAACTCTTGAATCAGTTAGGCAGAATATAACAAGCCCAGAATTTTGGAAAGGTCTGAGATAAGGCAAAAATCTTGTTATCATGTATATCTATGTGGCCTTTAAAAGACCTCCATTTTCTTGGTTATTAAACTTGTTACCCTATCAGCTCTTGATGAATTACATCTAGTTATTTTCACCAGTACTTAAATTAACATTAAAAGAAATGTGATGTTTGCAAGAACAGTTAAAAGGTATTTTACGAAGGCATTTCATTTAGAAATTAAAAGCATTAGAAAATAAAAAGGAAACTGTTAAATCTACATCAGAATTTCTGTAGTGCTTGAGTTAACAGGGTATAACAACTTTTGGTCTGTGAGCATGTCTACATATCAAGGAAGAGCCAGAAGCTTCTGAAACTATGGTGAGGACGGCTTAAACGGCTGTACGTCCAATATGCACACTCTTAGCCGCCCCTGTCAGGATGTACTTCACCAGTCTTACGGCACATTCGATGAGCATCTCTGAATCAGCAGGGCATGACAGGAATCACAGACTCGAACAGGCTTCGGTGATGAAGGCAAAGGTAGCTCGTTGTCAGAGCAGGCATTACAAAAAATTTCCCCACAATTTCTACAATGGTGCTTTTAAAAAAACAGGAAAAAAATTTTATAAAGTCGAAATCAAGGCTTGATCCCTCATTTCTCAGAATATACTTTTCCCCTTCTAGCTTACCCTTCTTTTAGAAAGTGAGAATTCTGTTTCACATAATTTACAGTGTGTGGCTTCTTCATCTTTCAACCAAACCTGACCCTAGGAGGAGGAGAAGGGAGAGTCATGGTCCTTCCAAACCTTCAGAAGCTTATACGACACATTCATGTTGATTATCGACACTGCATCCATGCATAGGTAGACAGGGACTACTGAACTTGCACCATTTTAGTGGGTGCTTAGATGCTGACTGAACTGGGGGAAAAACAGCCCTCAAAAAGGCATGTAATCTAACCCATAAGGCAGGCAGGAGGCCTCAGATAAAACTACCCGGTTTGGAGAAACTGTCTATGCACAGGGTTGTAGACCTGAATTCTGCCTTGGGTTTCTAGACTGGAAGGGAAAAGACTAAAAGCTAAGGAACATATTCCCTCTTACCTTTCTGTACTGACCCACAACAAAACTAGGCCAGTGAAGTGGGCTAGTTAAGTCAAATTAAGTCAAAACTAGGTCAAAAAGCTTTTATCAAGTGCCTACTATGTTCGAGGCACTATGTTAACCACTGAGGATACAAAGTAAGGATAAACAACAGTCCCTGCCCTCATGGAGCTGACAGTCTAGCGGGCCAATAGTTTGGCACCATGAACGTTGAAGGACCTAACAGCCGATAGGTGGAAATCAACCACCAAGTGAATGACTGAAAACCCTTGCGGCTGGAAGGGCATCAGCAGTCCCTTTATCCCAGCCAATCCAAGCAGGGCTTCCCTGTCACGATCTCCATGACCAGTGGGTGTTCAGCTTTCTTTTAGCGAAGGGGCCAGACTACTTCCCTAGGCCCATTCTGCTTCTAGACAGCTGTTAGTTTGGTCTTCTAAGGAGTCAAAATCTGCCAGTTTTAACTCACTTCAAATGCACTTTCTGTTCCTGCTAGATTGGTCAAATGTTACCCACCTGTCATGCCTTTTCCCGTTTCCATGCTTTTGCCTTGGCGTGCCCTGTGTCTAGAAGACTCTTCCTCACCAATGCCTCTTGACATCTCTACCTCCCGCACCACCTGCCTTACCTGATTCCCCACTCAACTTCCGCCATGCTTTGAAATTGCTTTGTATTGTGTATATATTATATGCTTACCTGTATTTTCACCAGCAAAATGTCAGTTGCCTGAGTAAAGGGAATTTTGTTTCTAACCTTGTATTTCCAGCATCTGGCTGTTCCAATTGTTTCAGTCACGTCCAACTCTCCGTGACCCCATTTGGGCTTTTCTTGGCAGAGATACTGGACTGGTTTGCCATTTCCTTCTCCAGCTCATTTTACAGATGAGGAAACTGAGGCAAACAGGGTGAAGTGACTCGCCCAGGGTCACCAGCTAGTGTCTGAGGCCAGATTGGAACTCAGGAAGAGGAGTCTTCCTAACATATTTTAAATATGTGACATCAATTCAACAAACAGTCATCAGGGGCTAAGTACATGCCAAGCGCTGTACTAGAGCTGGGCGTACAGAGACAAAACTGAAGTAGGTCTTGTCCTTGAGGAGTTGACATGCTACTATGGAGATACAGCAGAGACGCAGAGAAGTAAACAGAAGGTAATGCGTTTCCTTGGCGTTTGTATTTTTATTTGAATTTCAGCCAGTGTACAGGTATGGCTCCTCACTTCCCCGAACACTGGTGCCGATCTCCCTGAGCTACCCTGGGAGGCCATAAAAAACCCCTTTATGACAGTGACAATTCTTTTTTGAAAGGAGGGGACAATTTTTAAAAAGGAGTAAGACACAAAAAAGTTGTGTGTTTTTTTAAAGGATTATAAAATTCACATGTAAGCAATCCTGCTACCTTCCTCCTTTTGTAGGGCCAGGCAGCCTTCACAGAGGCACATACCTTCCTGTAGCAATGATATCATACAGTATCTGGAATGATTCTTAGAACTGGACAATCAGAGTCTTAAAGACACTGTGAGACTTTGGAGGCCAATCAGCCCTAGGAATACAGATCTAAAAAAGGAGCAAACACAGAACAGGAAGCTGTGAAGAGGCAGTGGGGCTGGGGTGGGGAAGGTCACCAACATGGGGCCTCATGGAAAAGTCAAGAAAGTCCCAAAGCAGTGCAGCCACGTGAGAAATGAGATGTTCTGAGCCGGGCTCCCTGCTTAAGAGGAGGCTTCGGCTCCCCCCTCCAATCAGCGGGACTGCGGGTGGTAGAGAGGTGGAATACCGAAGCTGAGGTGATCACGGGATGCCTTTTGGCAAACAAGAAACCCCAAATGGTCCAGTTAGAAGCATTCGGTGGATGAGCAGCTCGGCCTTACTAGCTGTGTGACCCTGGGCCAGTCACTTAATGACTGCTTCCATACAATAAAAAAGCAGCGTTTGGTGGACACTGGTGCGCCCCGATGTCACGGCCACAACGGCACCCTCCTTTCCCTCCCAACTTTCCAGCTCAGATGTAGTTCTGTCGGCCCGGTTCTCTCAGTGGCTGATCCTCAGGATCATTATAATTTTAGGAAACAAAATCCTCAGAACTGACACTTTTTCAACCCGAACGCAGGTAGATTCAAAACACCGAGGATGACCTTCAGTGGGTGGAGGGTGTTGTTCTGTTTCAATGACTGTTTTTATTTTTCATGCCATGATCATCTCCCACCATCCAACATCCACACTGACCTTCCTGAACATGAAACAGACAGACCCCATTCGAGCGCAGCTGTCTTGACGTGGTGATCATGACTGACATCAGACTATGGGATATTCTGCACTCTAAAGGAAGGGAAGGCAGCATCCCACAGGATGCCGGCACTGCTCCCGGCACGTGCTCTGAACTGCGATCTTTGACTTACTAGTTCTTTGTGTACCTGGACTTCAAACTTGATGCACACAACATTAATCCACATCGGTATCTGAAGAGAAGAGGTTTCTACTGACCTGTAACGCCTTGTTGGCTTCTTTTATATCTTCTATTTTAAGTTTCGATCTAAAAGAGATTAGAAAGAGGTCAACGTTGGCTTCCGATGCTTAATGACAATAATCCCCTCGAAAGTGACTGGGCATCTGGACGTCTCATCTTACAGAGGAAGAAAAAGGGGCCCGGGGAAGTTTAGTGACCTGGCTCAGCTCACCCTAGTGGTGCTGATCAGAGGCAGGATTGGAAACAAGGCCCTCTGACCCCAGGGCTGGTCCTCTTAATAGTACTGGTACTACCTACTTCACAAGGACTCTGCGAGAATCAAAGAAGAGAATTTGTGTCACATTTTGTAAACTACAAAGTGTTTCTCATTTGCAGACAGCCCTCACTGCCCCTATTATGTCTCATCTTCTGCAGGGTAAACAGACCCTCCCTCGGCACAATCTCTAGTCCCCTCACTGTACTTCTTTACTTATTTCGGGTTATCAGAATTTCAGAATTGGAAGAAGTCTCAAAGGTGATTAGTTCAACATTAGGTACTATAAAAACCCTCTCTAAATATCCCTGACAAGGGCTCAGGCTGATGGCCTTTCTTGCCTCTCCAGTCCTGCACTAGGACCAGGGGACTTGGATATACATACCAATGCTCCCCCCAATACCTTTCTATCTCCCAATTCCTCAAGTCACCCATTTCTAATGATCTATACACAGTGATACAAAGAGATGGTCACACTCTGGATCTGGCCATCACCCACAAATGGACCACTTCTATGTTCACGAACTCCAAAATTCCTTTATCTGATTCTACCTCTTTCTCTGCTTCTTGACCCCCAGCCTTGTTCTTTGCCCTCCTGATGACCTCAACCCCTCATTCTTTCTGAACCATTACCCCTGCATGACCAACGTTCTCTTCCCTCCCCCATCTTGATGAACAAGCCCAACCCTACACCATGCTGTTCTCTACAGCTCCTGCCTCCTTATCCTAGAGAAGATCTTGCTCTTCCAAACCCCATCATTCTCCTCACTCATTGCTGAATGACGATGGAGAATATCACAAACTCTACTGGCTGGGGTCCACTACAAGTTCGTATTGCACAATTGCAGCTGGGCCCTCATTATGGCTAGGCAATCCTTGTACACTTCCCTAATTAAGTCCCGGTCCTACTTACCACAGTGGCTTTTCCAAACCTTCTCATCTGTCCTCCAAAGGTCATTCACAAAGACCTCTTCCTCCTCACATCACACAGATGCCTTCTGCCACTATTTCCTACTTCACCCCACTTAGTTCTTGCTGAGCTAAGCCCTCTAAAAGCACAAGTGGGCAGACTGTCACCCTCTATCATTCCTTACTCTCTCTCTCAGTCTCTCCTTATGTACTGGCTGCTTCTCTACTGCTACAAATAGGCCCATCACTCCCCCCGCCCCCATCTCCCATCCTCACACTACCCTCATTTAATCCAAGCATCTCCACTAGTTTTCATTCCTTCTCTCTTTTCGCTAGTGGGGTGAAACTCCTTGAGAAGGCTGTCTACAATGGGCATTTCTGCCTGCCTTTCTTCTCCCTCTCTTCCTAACTCTACATTCTGGCTTCCAACCTCATCATTCAGCTGAAAATAGTCTCTCCACTATTATCAACGATTTCATAGCTGACCTATCGAAAGGCCTTTTCTCTGTCCTCACCCTTCTTGACCTCTCTACAGACTTCGATGTGTACATCTGATACAGATGGCTTGCTGATAACCCTCATCTACTTGGTATTGTCTCCTAAGCTTTCAAGACGCTGCTGCTCTCTTATGGTTCTCTTCCTCTTCAGTTTCCTTTCCTGGCTCTTCACGTCACACTCACTGGCCATGAGGCCAGTCCCTGAGGGCTTGGTCCTGGGTCCACCTCTCCCTCTAAACTATTTCACTTGGTGATCTCATCAGCTCCTACGGCTTCAATTCTATGCCAGAAAACTCTCAGATTTACTCATCAGTCACCTCCAGTATCATATCTCCAGCTGCTTTTTAAACATCCTAACTGAACATCCTATAGATAGAGTAAATTCAACACGTCCAAACTGAACTTTCCCCCCACTCTCTCCCCTGCTCCTAGCTGCCGAGGGTACCGCCATCCTGGTCACCACTCAGGTGTGAACCTAGATGTCTGTCTCTGCTTTTCACTCTGTCATGCCCTCCATACAGCCACTCAGTGGTCAGTCCTGTCCTTATAACATAGCTCATATTATGTCCCCTCCTCTCCTCTGACAACACCGCCCTGGTGCAGGTCCTCATCATGTCATGCCGAGGCCATTACAAGAGCCTGCTGCTTAACCCCCTGGCCTCCACTCTCTTCCCACTCCAATTCATCATCCACTCGGCTGTCAAACTGCTCTTCCTAAAACACAGGTTCTGACCACATCATTTCCCATATTCAGTACTCTGATGGCTCCCTATTACTTGCTGCATCAAACAGAAGATCCTGTTTGCCTTTTGAAGCCCTTCCTCACCTGGCCTCTCTCCACCCTTCTAGTCTTCTTCTAGTCCCCCACGCCGGGAGCAAACTTTGTCCTCACCCCTGCCTCCTGGCTTCCCTGGCTTCATTCACGTTTCAGCTCAAGTTCCACCTTCTACAGGAAGCCTTTCCCAACCCTCCTTCATCTTGGTGCCTTCCCTCTACTCGTCCCCAGTTTCTGCTGTCTGGAGTTCCTTTGTACAAAGCTGCTAGCAGCTGCCTTCCCCAGCAGACTGAGCTCCCTGAGAGCAGAGACTTTCTGTTCTTAGCCTTTTTTCTATGCCCAGTTCTTAGCACAGCACCTGACACACAGTAGTGTTTATTAAACAGTAGTGACTGACTGGTCATTAAGCCTTTTCTAGAAGCTCTCCAGAGAAAAAATGTCCCTAAGACATGGCACCCCAAACCAGACACGGTCCTCAGCACATGCTCTCACTAAGGGAGAACAGAATCAGAGCAGAACCCTAGTGAAGTTATGTACCTGCCTAATTTATAGCTTTCCTCCAAAAACTGCAAACTTGATTCATTCAACATAGTTCACTTTACCCTAAGATTTGCCTTCATTTTGTTTAAATAGTTGAGCTGCTTCTTCCCCCACAATCTGTTCTTTGTTGGTTCTGACCAGTTATAGACTTTTAAGAACTAACTATTTAAAGAAAGTAAAAAAGAAAAGTTACTCGCTAAGCTTGCTGCCAAGTTCTTGAAGGGCTTGTTCCTGGTCCTGATATATTTTTTTCAACTGTTGGTTTTCATTCTGGAGACTCAGAAATTCCTTCAGAAACAATTTTTAAAAAGATATCTTAAAACAAAGAAAACATTGCATTGTCTACATTCCATTATTCGGCAACACATTCTAAGTTTTAAGTAAAAAAGAATGTTCCCATAGGTGTACAACTACTTTATAACAGGTATATTCTACTTACAGCTTTCTTTTATTTTAGCAAAATATTTACACAAAAAAACATTTCATATGCCCAATACGTTCTGTTATCATGGCTGGCTGTGAAAATGACTGTTTCTAGTTTTTCTTGAAAATACATCGCCTTCTAAACAGAACAGCTCAAATAAAATTGAACATTTTACCACGATTTACTTTTTTAAGACTAATGATTTGTTGTGTCTCATTTCTCAGATGAGACAGAGCATCGTTCTCCTTTTGAAGATCCTCTTGCAAAGTTTGCCTCCATTCCTTTTCGATCTTCAAATCAGTTTCCAACTGAGCCCTTCAGTCACAAACAGAAACAAAACATCAAAGCTCAGGACAGTTAGTGACACTGATTTAGAAGTTCATCATGTTCAGAAAATAGCACAGAGAAGCAGGACAATTTGTTAATACTGTTTTAAATTTCACACACTTAAAAAGTAAATCTGTGCCGAAGTTTATTTTCATGTACAATCCTTTTTTGTGTTCTTCATTTGCTGATGTTTTAAAATTCACAATTAAAATAGATGATAATGACAATAATAAGCATTTATGTAGCATTTCAAGGTTTGAAAAGGTCTTCATAGATGGCCAGTGCCATTTCCTACAGAAATTATTTGTGGCTTAGAACATATTGTTTCTATATAATATTGAAGTATGAAGAAAAAGCAAATATAGTGTTATGAGAAAATGGTTTGTAGGATAACAAATTTAGAGCTGGAAGAAACTGGAGAGCTGTCTTAGGAAACGAAAGCCCAAAAACTACAGCACTGACAAGCAGAGATAGGATTTGAAATCAGGTCACCTAAGACAACCCTACACACACATCCCATCTCTGGACCTGGCCATGGGCTTTTTTTCCTCCAAGCCTTGAATGCCCTTGTAGAAGCTCTGGCTTCTGTTTAGGCCCTTAGTATATGAGGCAATGCCTGATTCTCTCAGTTGCTGAGACTCCTCCCCCTTGTAAAGTAATTTGAATTTAATTTTTATGTATTTATTTACTTATCTACATTCGTGATGTTTCCCTCAAAGGAGTTTAAAGTTCCTCCAGAGCGGGGACGTTTCATTATTTTCTGTGTATCTCCAGGGCCAAACAGAGCCTTGTACACAGTAAGTGCTCGGTAAATGCTTGTTGATCTTGACCCTACTGTTAACACTTGAACATCATGCTTCCTTCCTGCCTGCTTCCTGCCGCTCTCACCTTGAAAAACTCCAATCTTGGATCACTCCCACGATGGACTGCATCCATTCCTACTCACCTGCTGCTGAACCTGGAGTAGGAGGTCATGCCACCCTGGTGGCTACATGCCATTATGAAATCTCAACTGGACCTGGCCACAACAAAGCAATATTTCCATTCCTCCCCAAGTGACTCCCCATCACTGTCTTCTCTGTACTTGCAAGCCTACTCTTACTTCTGGAAGGCTCCCACAGCATCCCTCCCTCCATTTTCGTAACAGACTACTCACACTACTGAAAGGCGAGAAGCTATTTGCCCTGCAGTTCTTTTCTCCTCCACCTTCCTTAACATCCTTAGCTATTCTCTCTGCTTTTATTCCAGCAGTTTCTAATGAAGAGACAGCCCTTCTTCTCTCTTGCCAGGACCAACCCCTGTACATGCACCTTTAATCCCATCTTCTTTCTCCATCTCTCTCAGCAGCTGTTTTACAATCATCTCATTTTCTTTAACCTTTTTTATCTAGTGAGTTCTTCTGCCTAAAAACATTCCTATAGGTCTCCTTATCCTTAAAAAAGCCCCCATTTGGGCCCTATCATCCTCACAGGCGATCACCTTTTCTCTCTCCTCTCTAGAACAGCCAAACTCCTAGAAAAAGCAGCATGAACAAATTGCCCCCCTTCCCCTCCTTTCGAGCCTTTGCCCTTTAGAATCTCGTTTCCAGCCTCATCCCTCAGTTAAAACTGCTCTCTTCAACTTTACCAATAATCTCTTAAGTGCCAAGTCTGACGGCTTTTTGTTAGTCCTCATCCTTCTTGAGCTCAACATTTACTAAGCTTCTACTATGTGGGCAGCACTGCTGACAAGCCTCCTCCTCTCTTGGTTTTTGTAACACTGCTCTCTCCTGATCTCCACCCCTGACCCCGCCAGCTGTCTGAGCATGTCTTCTGTCTCCCCTGCTGGATCATCACCCATATCACATCCCCTAAATGCATGTATGGCCCAGAGCTCTGTCATTTGTTTTCTCTTCTCTCCCTGTACTCTCTCAATGACCTCCTCAGCTCTTTTGAGTAATTACCACTTCTGTGCTGATGGCACTCAGACCTCTACAGCAAACCCTAGTCTCTTTCCTAAGTTCCAGTCACACATCATCAGCTGCCTAGGACATTTCAAATCGTGTCCCACAGGCATCTCAAACATGTCCAAACTCATTATCTCTGCTCCTCCCACCCCAACCTACCCCTCTTCTGAACTTCCCCCTTCCTGTTGTGGGCTCTGCCATCTTTCCAATTGCCCAGGTGCACAACCCTGGCATCATCCCTAACTCTTTACTTTTTTTTTTTTGTGAGGCAATCGGGGTTAAGTGACTTGCCCAAGGTCACACAGCTAGTAAGTGTTAAGTGTCTAAGACTGGATTTGAACTCAGGTCCTCCTGTCTCCAAGGCCAGAACTCTATTCACTGCACCACCTAGCTGTCCTTTCTAACTCTTTACTCTTCTACGTAGCCAGTCAGTGACACAATCTTGTCAAGTCTTTCACAACATATGTCCCTTTTCCTCCACTCTCATGGCCTCCTTGTTTAAATTCTCATCGCCTCTAACCTACAATGCTGAAATGGTTTTCGAGCCAGTCTCCCTTCCATCTCCGAACCACTCCCCACTCAGCTGCTCAGTGACGTCCCCAAAGCAGACATCTGACCATGTCATTCCCTACAGTGGCTCCCCACGGTCTCTAGAGCTAAATACAAGCGTCTTCCTGCTGCCCCTCACACCTGGAGTCTACTCCTTCACTGGTGCCTTTGAGATGCTCAGGTGCTGCTTCTACACGAAGCCTCTTCTGACTCCCCGCCTCCCCACCGCCATCAGTGCCTTCCCTCCTAAGCTGCCTCCTGTTTATTTCGGATACACTTATGTATATATGTATGTGCTGTCTCCTCCATCACAGTGTAAGCTCCCTAAAGGCAGGTATTGCTTCATTTGTGTCTTTGTCTAGAGCTTAACAAACATTTGTTGGTTGATTAGTTGTTTAATAAATGCTTGTTGAAACTCTGCGGTATCACTTCACACCTATCAGATTGGCTAATATGACAAAACAGGAAAATGATGGATGTTGGAGGGGATGTGGGAAAACTGGGACACTAATGCACTATTGGTGGAGGTGTGAACTGATCTATCATTCTGGAGAGCAATTTGGAACTATGCCCAGGGGGCTGTAAAACTGTGCAAACCCTTGGATTCAACAATGCCATTGCTAGGTCTACATTCCAAAAACTTAGAAAAAAAAAGGGGGGTGGGGGGAAGAGGAACCTATTTGTACAAAAATATTTATAAGGGACAGCTAGGTGGTGCAGTAGATAGAGCACCGGCTCTGCAGTCAGGAGGACCTGAGTTCAAATCTGGTCACAGACACATAACACTTATTAGCTGTGTAACTCTGGGCAAATCATTTAACCCCAACTGCCTCACAAAAAAAAAAATACTATAGCAGCTCTTTCTGTGTTGGCTAAGAATTGGAAACTGAAGGGGATGCCCATCAACTGGGGAATGGCTAAACAAGCTGTGATATGACTGTAATGGAATATTATTGTGCTAGATAAGCAGGATGATTTCAGAAAAACCTAGAAAGACTTACATGAACTGATGTAAAGAGAAGTGAACAGAACCAGAAAACTTTATACACACTAACAGCAGTACTGTTCAATGAAGAACTGTGAATGACTTAGCTATTCTCAGCAGTACAATGATCCAAGAAAATCCCAAAGGACTAATGATGAAGCATACTATTCGCCTCTAGAAAAAGAACTGATAGTGTTTGAATGAAAACGGAAGCATGCTATTTTTCACTTACTTTCTTTCATTCTTTTTCTTTTATTTGAATCTTCTTGCACAAAAAGACTAATATGGAAATGTTTTACATGACTGCATATGTATAACCTATATTGTTATCAGGGAAGGGGAAAGGGAGGGAAAGGAAGGACAAAATTTGAAACTCAAAACTTTAAAAAAACAAACGTTTAAAAAATTTATTTCAACATGTAATCAGGGAAAAACAAAATATATTTTAAAAAAACAAATGCCTGTTAAAGGAATGAACAAAAAGAATAACACAGGTATCCCTCACATAATACCAATTAATTATATTTTTTTATTTTAATCACCACAGGGTCCCACCTCATCCTTAAAGTCAGAGAAATTTGGAAGCACTATGTGACAGCCTACCAATTTACACCACAAATCAGAATGCCCACTATCTCTACTATCTAACTGCAATCAAATTTAAAAAGCCATAAATCTGAAATATCTACAAAGGACACTAGCTATTGATTAAGCCCATCACCACAGTGGACACAGAATCAGCAAGCACTATTTCTGCCCCACATTTTTGGATAAAAGCTCATTTCAGAACACCCACAGAAGATACAGTAAGGACTGGGATGTTCAATCCTTAAGCTGAATGTGCTCTCTTCTTGTGTCCAAGGACACAGTAAACAAATTATACAGATGCTACAAAACAGATATGATGGGAAGCAGACAGTAAGTTCGAGTGACAGAAAAAGTACAAAAAGAAAGAAAAAGTATTAGCTCACAAAATTAGAATAATGAAGACAGTCCGAGACTGGCAACCACCCATAACAATTCCTGAAACTTTATATGCTGTCATAATATCTCCACAGGGTAAACAATATAGAGCCAAGACTTAGCATTGGAGGGGACCTCAGATGCCATCTGATCCATGCTTCACATTTTACAGACGAGGAAACTGAGACACAGAGTGACCAAGTGGGGTGCCATCACTGGAGAACATCTATGTGAGGCAGGATTTGATCCCAGGTCTTCCTAACTCCAGGGCTATCACTCTAGCATTTATATAGCTCTACAAGGTTTGTAAAGCACTTCATTATCCAATTTTATTCACACAATAACTGTATGGAATGAGTATTCTAGATGAGTCTCCTAGACATTAAGTAATTTGTTCAAAGTCTCACAGTTAGTAACTGAGGCAAGAATCAAATCAGGGAGGGCTTCCTGACTGCAAGCCCAGTGCTCTTCTTTACTATGCTGGGCTGTTTCTCGCATTTCAAAAGTGCGATAATTCTGTCACTTGTTTAACACCCTATGATTTAAAAATGGAAGGGACCTGAACGATCACTTAATCTGGGCTTCTTAACCTGTGGTCCAAGGGCCCTGAATAGATGACGTTGGGGCCCATGAAGTTGGATGGGGAAAATATATTTTTTTCACCAATTTCAATTATTAATTTCAAAAGAAAACGATATGATTTTGAGAAGGGTTCACAAGTTTCACCAGAGTGACTGCAAAGGGGTCCACATCCCAACAAAGGTTAAGAACTCCAGATGTAATCCACTCCCCTTGTTTTAGAGATGAGGACACGAAGGCCCAGCAATGTCAACTGATTTGTAAGAGGTCACGCAGACATGTAGTAGCAGAAGCTGGATTCAAATTCAGAACAACTGACTCCAAAGCCAGTGCCCTTTTCGCTCTAGGACACTCCCTCCTTATTGAGTAGCTTACTGAGAGTACAAGGCTCTGAAACTGGTACAAACTTGAAGAAGACAGACCTTGAATCCAGCAGCTTACAGCATAGTAAGGGGATAAGCTGTTTGTGTTGGAAGACGGACAAAATCTAAAGAAGACGTGTCTCCTGCCCGTGTGGAGATTCCAGTCTCATAAGACGTATCCAATTCAGTGTTAAAATAAGGCAGGAAGTGCTAAGACATGAGATGTGCTTGTCACATGACTGAATTCAATTCTAAAGCTCTTACTGTTGTACTTGCTTAACTGACCCCCAAAGGCAGCCCCCACAGCATCTGTTCCAAAACACTATTTTTCTCCTCAAACCACCTTCATCGCTCCTTCAACCCTTCCTTTGAGCAGGGGACCTTGACTCACAGTTTACTGTGAGGCTATTCATCACGAGCTTCCTCTCCTCCCCATTTCTAGTGCTTGAATATACTCAACATTCTCAGTTCCAGCCTCAGAAGGCGGGGTCCTTCTGGCCAGTGGCCACCTATCAACCCCACACCCTCAAGGAGTTTTGCTTCTCCCTCCTTCCCACCAGTCAGTCTCTCTTCTTCCCCGGCTCCTTCCCTGCTGCCCTCTGGTAGCCTTCACCTACCATTTCAGAAGCTGTTTCCTCTCTTCCTCTTTTCCTCTTCCCCTTCACAGCCTTTCGCCTAAAAATGGTTGTTATCTCTGCTGTCTTCATTTCCTCCCACCCCACTCACAATCTGGCTTCTGACCACTGGCTCCACCACTTGGTCTCTCCAAAAAAATTACCAATAATCCCCTTAATTGCTAAATCTAGAGGGTTTTTTCTCGATTTTCAACCTTCTGAACGTCTCCATAGCATATGAAACGGATGAGCAGCCATTCCCTCTGGGTTTCTGTGATGATGCACTCTCCTGGCATCATCCTCCTACCTGCCTCACTGCTCCTGCACCTTTGCCCTAGCCACACATCCCATCACATGTACCCAGGATAGCCCAAGACTCTGTCCCAGGTCCTCTTCTCTTCTTTCTAGACAGATGATTCAAAAAGCTACATATTTAGCCCTAGTCTCTCTCCAAAACTCCATTCCACCCCCCAAAAGACTCCTGTGCACCTGCACCTCAAACACATCATGTCTACCATGGGACTCATCTCTCTCCTGCTCCCCAAACCCAACCTCTTCCCTAGTACCTATTTTTTTTTAAGAGCAATTGGGGTCACACAGCTAGTAAATATCAAGTGTTTGGTCTGAGGCCAGATTTGAACTCAGGTCCCCCTGACATCCACTGCACCACCTAGCTGTTCCCCCCCTTAGCGTCTTCTGTCAAGGGCAGCCCAGGTCACCTCTGGTGTGCTTTCCTCTTCTCCCCCTGTCCCCACACCTAATCACTGGCCATGTCCTGGAGGCTCTGCCTACACAGTTGCCCCTTCTCTCCTCTCCTCTCTAGCTCTTCTGTTCCTTGAGTGTCAGTGGCTCCCTATTTCCACAAACTCCTCTGTTGGATATTTAAAGATCTTCATAACATGGCTCCTCACCTTCTTTTTAGTTTTAGTGATGCTTTTTGCTTTTGTATAACATTCCTCTCCAAACAGAGCCCTCTCTGATTCAGCAAGCTTTCCCTTTTAAGAAATTTTTTGTCCCAATTTCAATAAAATCAACCAAAACACTGCGTCACAAAGTACATATATGACATTCTATCCAATTCATCAAAATAATAATAGCTCACAATCATATAGTGCCTACTATGTCCCAGGCACTGTGCTAAGCTACATTATTCCATCTGATTCTCACAACAACCCCGGGAGGTAGGTGCTACTATTATCCCCATTTTACAGATGAGGAAACTGAGGTAAACTGCAGTTAAGTGCCTGGCCCAGGGTCACCCAGCTGATAAGTATCTGAGGTTGGACTCAAAGAAGGGAATGACCCATCCTCTTTTCAGACTGATCTGACCACTCCCCTTCACACGGCTTACTTGGAGGAACTTCCTCATCTGTGACTCTTCCCTCTTTGGTCTCCACACTTTTCACACAGGCTTTCTCTTCCCCTCAGAATCCCCAGCTCCCCACATGAGGCTGAGCTCAAGTTAACATCTCTGACCCAAAGCATTTCCCATGACTGCCCAGCTGTTAGTACTCTCTCCTGCCCCCTGAGACAACTCTGTATTTATTTTGTCCACATTTGCGTTTGTCTGAGTACATGTTGTTTGCCTCTGGTAGAACCTAAGCTCCTTACGTTTTGTGTGGGGTTTTCGGTGTTCATAGCTCCAGAAAAGAGCATGATGCTACTAAACAGTAAATAAATGCTCACTGACTTGAAGTATGTTAAAAGGGAATACATTTGGGCACCACAGCAAATTACTGTTCCTGTTTTGAAGATTAATCCCAACGTTTCTGCAAAAAGTTAGCATTTCATTTGAAGTCATATGTATTCCCATTCAAGATCAACATATTCCCTAGTGGAATGAATCTAGATTTTATAATGGTAGCCAAAGCAACTCAGACAAGCTCCTATGTGAACACTTTACCATGGGGAAGAGGCAATCCTGGCATTCTGAAGGTTATGCCCATGGAGAAGTGGCTGTGACAAGTCCTGCAGGGCAGAAGCAGTCTGAACATGGTCTTGGCAACAGATTAACCCTTCTTTCCATGGACTAACAGCCCTGACTACCATAAAGCAAGTTTGTTGGCCTTGGCAATCCATGAAACAAAGAAAGGCACAAAAACAGCTCTCAGTCTCATGGGACCCTTTCCTCACTGGAACACATACACTGCATTAATCGGGGGATACTGACACCACAAATGTACTGACAGTGCTCCAAGAACATTAGCTCACAGACTGCCATATATGAAATAATGACAGCATCAGCAGATACCTACAGCCACAATCAACAAATGTGTTTTTTAAAAAGATACTGGCAACACCAATCAATCCACAAAACTGATTAAGTGTCTGTGTTCTAGGCACTATGGAAATAAGGACAAGAACAACTCAGTCCTTTCCTGATTACACTTTAATGGGAGAAACCCCACCACCACACAAAAGTGAATATAAGATGAAGTGACGATGGGGGACTGACCCCATCGTCAACTGGGGACATCAGAACAAGCTTCGATTATAAGATAAAAGGGAATATTGCTATAATCTTTCCATCATGGGAATGTATTAAGAGAAAAGAGTATGTATGTGTACACACACACACACACACACACACACACACACACACACACACACCCCTCCATATACTTCTTTGGATAAAAGGGAGAGAATACTCACAGCTGTGTCTCCTTTTGGGATATCTGTTTCTGCAGGCTGTCAGACTGACTCAGACACTCTTGTTCAAATTTTTCATCCTCATTCTTGGCTTCCATTTGAGCCTTCTCTGCTTGCTGCAATCTGGTGTAATTCAAATCAACTTTGGGTAAAACTGAGGCTAGAACTAGGGTGTAAAAGGGTGAAGAAGACAAATAAAAGAAAAATGGGGAAATAGAAACATTTCTAAACAAAAACAAAGTCTGGGGGAAACTTACAACTCAAATGAGAAAGAGCCACACAATGCCTAAAAATGGCTTCCATGATTTTCATTATGCCATATAATACACCCAGGACACAGTCTTCAGATTTACTTTATTTCTTGTTTATGATTAACAATGCAAAGCAGTACAACTTTTATCACTTTACATGAAGTTTAATCTAGATTACAAAGTAAGTATGTGCATTACTGCCTTTTAAAAAACTGCCACGTACAGCCCCTCCATTATTGGCATTAATTAAGCAAAGAAGTTGCAATATGCTACATGTCATATAAGCGAATACAGGAGCCACAATATGACTGCATAATGAGGCCAAGAGTGGAGAACAGCACCCACCTCCAACAGCACCACATGCTGCAACGTTCTCTCCGTCCTTACTGAATGACCACCGTGCTGCTGGGTTTTTTTAAATTTAAGAATATTTGTCAGGTAGTTGGCACCGTGGCTCCCTAGACCACATGCTCCCACCACTACATGAACTAAAACTGATTAGCTAAAAATACTGTGGGTGTTACTTTTCTTTTCTTATGCATTTGGGACCTTGCTTTCCTACTTTGGGGTCTTGTCTCTTTTCACAACATGTGCTTATTTTTTCTGCTCTGTTCCCCCACAGCTTCTGCTCTGAGAGATTTTTAAAAATTTGATTTTACAGGTTTGAAGCTGTTTATTTTTAAAATAAAAGCTATTCAAAATATCCTTAGAAAATGTGACTCTAATTGGAAGGTGCAATAGCGATTGATGTCTAACGAGTCATATTCCAGCTGTTCAATTTCGTTTCACAATTACAACTGCGGAGTCACAGAAATAGGTATTTCCCTTAGGCTTCTGTAGAAGCTGCTATTTCCCTGGGTGAATAAGGAAGGGAAACCACCAATGAATTTATGTCTTTGAAGGCTAAAATAAATACAAATTCAAGAACTTGTAAACTCCCCATATCTTTCCCATAATATGTAAGGGCATTTTTGTTTTGTCAGGCCCAGCAAGGCAAGACTTAAAGTTGTGCTACTGTCCAAGAAGGCTTAGCAGAAGTGGCAAACAGGAAAGACAGTCAATAAACTGATTTAAAATGCTGTAAAAATCAGGGTGCAGCCACAAGGGAAAGAGAGTGCCAAAGGAGAAAGAAATCTGTCAGCACAACGTGGAAACAAAGGGTAATTTAATTTTAAACAATCTTATACTTTACATTAAAAAGTAGATGGAAGATAAGAAGATTGTGTTTGATAACCCTGACCTGCAACGGCTCAATACTCAGAATTAATTAAGTCGGGGCGGAATCCAAACCCACTCGCTCATTTTATGGCAGTGCATTACCACAACAAAGAGAGCCCAGAGGCTTCCTAACACCCTTTTGTAATGTTTCATCACATCATTTTCTTCTATATTTGACAAGCTGTACAAATTCGAACGCCCTTTGAAAATTTTTAGATACAGCAGGCATGAGGCGGCTTCAGAAAGATATATCTTTGACCAGTTTGTACTGGGGCTGCGTGTCACTGCTGGCACACTTCACAAATGACATTGCAATAGTCCTAGTTTGAGTTAATAAATCTTTATCACTTCAGGATGGGATGGACAGAAATCAAAGGCAAGAGAGAAGTAATAAAAATGTCCAAAATGTAAAAATTGGGATAAAAGAAACAAAAGAAAAGAAAAAAGAAAAAAAGAAGAAAGAAAAGAGGATGTCAATAAAAGAATATTCATGTCAAGAAAGCTTTAAATAGTTATGTTTTTCATTGGTAGATTCAAAGAAAGCAATGGTAAGACATATGCTGACACCAATATGACAGGGTAATGGAGGTCTATTACATCTTCCAACAATAAAAATGAAAAATCCCACCTACAAAAGATTAAATCTAAACAAACCTATGCTACACTTGACCCAGACAGGTACTGTTTTAACATCTTTAAGCATCTTTTTCTCTCACTAAGTGTCTGTACATCAGACATGAAATACTCCAAATGGTTTTACACACTTGGATGTAAAACTTGACATACTTGTAGGCCAAATATACCTCACAATCAACCCCCTACCACCTGAGAAATAATTAATGGCATTCTGCTGTGGCCAGTGTGGAAGGTGATGAATAACAGGCTATGAGAGCCCAAAGGGACCTAAGAGATCATCTGACCCAAACTCCAAGGAACAAGCAGAGAGAACGTCTACTCTGAATGCCTGTTTCTAGACAGGAACATGAGGAGAGACAGTGGAGACGGCAGTCAATATGCACTGAAGTCAAAGAGAGCTCATTTCACCCTTGGTTTTTTCCCCTATAAGGCAACTATTTCCAAACAACAAAAACCAATGGTAAAATCCTGCCAGTCTCTTCCAAACAGGTCATTAACCTACAACTTTGCTAGCCAGGCAGCTTTGGTGGCAGGTGGCAGGTGGCAGAGAGCAGTCAGGTAAAACGCGTGAAAGGGATGAAGAAGCAGCAAACGCTGTGGATGCCCTACCTTTGCTCCAGCTGTTTCATGGCAGCAGTGATTTTATTGGTTTTGTCCTCCAGTCGACCAATTATTTCATTCTTTTCTTTCATGCCTTCTTCTGAACCCTAGTTGAAAACATAAAGCTGCAATGATTTGGGGATTGCTAAATCCTAACATTTAACCTATTTGGTTTTTTACCAGATTGTTCATTAATAGAGTAAATTAACTCAAATTTTCAGTAACATTACTCTCTACAACACAAAGCAGTTTAATCATTTAATATATTCAGGGGCAAAAAAAGAAAAGCAAAAACAACTGGGGATATTATTTTCCTTCAATGTTGTCTCAAGGTAACAGTGTTTATCCTCTTAAAAGGTCTCTTTTTGTCATGGAACTGAGTTAGTTTTTTAATTGCTTTGGAGTATAAGTCTTCTGAAGTGTAGTGGCATTTAATGCAAAGGGTTGATAAAAGTTGCAGAGAATCATCTGATCAAAACTGAAAAGGTGGCAGGTTGTAGTATCACAAGAACCAAAGAAACCACTCTAGTGTTTGGATTCAGATTTTTCTCGTACGGTTTCAGTTTTAACCATTCTGGTCTTCCCTAATGCAGCGTAAATAGAGAGAAGTCATTAATGCCTAACAAAAGGATTCCCTTGTCCCTGCCGTACAGCTAAAAATCACATTTCTTCTTGGTAATAATAACGACAGCTTGCATTTATATAGTGTTTCAAGGTTTGCAAAGCAAATCTTAACCTATGTTGTGACATTTGATCCTCCCAACGACCCTCTGCAGTAGATGGATTATTATTATTCCTATGTGCAAGTGAGGAAATGGAAGCCAACAGAGGCCAGCACCTTACCCAGGATCACAGAGCTGGGAAGGGTCTGAGGCTGGTGTTGAACTCAGGCCCTACGGACTCCTGGCCTGGTGTTCAGTACCCTCTGTCGCCCTCTAGTGGCAGTTAGAGGCTTGCTTCCAGTAGACCAAAGGTGAAGGTGACTGCCTACACCCTGACGCCTCCATTTGTGAGGTGACTCCCAAACCCCAAAGCTCACACTGACTCTGCCTCCGCTTGTGAGAATGTTTCTTTACCTGCAGCTTCTGATACATCTCTATGTTAATTGCTTTAACATCCTCCAGTTGTTGTCGAAGGCCTATAAGAGTATCTTGTTTCTCATGGATGTCTTTCTCCAGCAACTTCATGGCAAGCTCAATTTCGTGTTTCATGCTAACTTGCACCATAAGCTCATTCTCCACATCCTGAAATTTGAGCACACACAGTTTACAGGGTCAACTCACAGAATGAGAGAGCGTAGAAGTCAATGGGGCTTTGGAGACTATGCCAGTTCAACCCTCTCATTTTACCACTGGGTAAATGGAGGCCCAAAGAGCGACTAGCCCAAGGTTACAGAGGTAGTTAGCAGGGAGGAGAGCTGGGATCTGAATCAGGTCTTGCATCTCCAAATCCTTCACTCTTTGGGCTACACCCTCTTGCCATAGATGTGCATTTTTCTTATAGTCATCATGTTTTTTTCTCATATGTTTATCATCATATATACTGTTCATGTATTACATACATCCTATCCCCACATTATGTAAGCTCAGTGAGGGTAGGACCATGTCTTATTTAATCTTTTTATCTTTTCTAGAACCTAGCCTAGTGTACATAGTAAGTGCCTAAGAAGTTTTATTTTAAGGCAAAAGTGAACAGAGTGGAGTTGTTTTTAGCATTAAATCTTCAAACAAAGTTAATTTTCAATGAAAACAAATGAAGACACATAGAGGGAAAAGGATGGAACAAATCTTCATTCCAAAAGATAGATGACAATTACGATGGTGTTGTTGATAATAATAACTAACATTTCGGTGACATCTTTAGGTTATAAAGTGCTTTATGTATATATATATAGAAAGAGAGAGAGAGAACAGGCACACACTGTCAGACAAAGTCACCGCCTACATCAACACTGGCTGATTGTTTTTGTTACAAGGTAGGCAAAAAAGATCAGAAAATGAATGTACTGTAAAAATGTACTAGTGTTCAAGTGGCGCTTTAAAAGCCTTTCTCTTCCCAGCGTCTCTCCCAATTTAACATTAGTGGTGCTCACTTGTCGTAACTGGGATTCTTCTCGGAGCTGTCTGCGGGCTTCGTTGTACATCTCGTCCAGTCCCTGACGAGACTGTTTGTACGTCTGAAGCTCAGTCTCCACGTCTACTTTGGTAACCTAGGAAGATGACCAAAGTGTACAATTCCACATCCATTACCAGAGAATACAGAGACAGGCCCAGAAACACAAGACAACCAATCCACCAGCAAGTATTTCAAGTATAAGATTTCACACTATACTCCAAAGCTGTGATCATCAAAACAATTTGGTCCTGGCTAAGAAACAGACAGATTCATCAGTGGAATGATATACGGAAGCAAATAAGAATAGCAGTCTGCTGTTTGATTAACCGAAAGATCCCAGGAATTTGGGCAAGAATTGACTATTTAACAAAAAATTATTGGGAAAAATGCAAAGTAGTCTGGAAGAAATAGGTATAGACCAACATCTCCCATCATCTACTAAGATAAGCTCCAAAGGATACATGATTTAGAATAAAAGGGGTGGCATCATAAACAAATTAGAGGAGTACGAAAGAAATGACCTATTGGATCTAAGCAAGAGAGAGGGAGAGGTTCACAGGAGGTAAAATGGACAATTTTGATTACATGAAATTAAAAAGGCTTTGCACAAACAAAACCAATAAAGCTAAAATTAAAAAAAGCAGGAAATTGGGGGGGGGAATTCTTCACAGTAAGTTTCTGTGAGGTTTCATTCCTGAGCTAGACAGGGAACTGAGGCAAATTTGTGAAAACAAGAGTCATTCCCTAATTGCCAAACGGTCAAAAAAATATGACTAGGAAGTTGTGTTTGTGGTTCTCCATCATACCTATCCTAACCTAGTTAGGCAAGGTTGAAAAAAATAAGAAAATACCAAACACGAAAGGGGATATGGGAAAACAAATACATGAATGCACTACTGGTGGAGCTGTGAAATGGCCTAGCCATTTTGAAAAGCAATTTAGAAATACGCCCCTAAAGCTATTAAGACACGCATACCGGGGCAGCTGGGTGGCACAGTGGATAGAGCACTGTCCCTGGATTCAGGAGGACCTGAGTTCAAATCCGGCCTCAGACACATAACACTTATTAGCTGTGTGACTCTGGGCAAGTCACTTAACCCCACTGCCTAGCCAAATATAAAAAAATAAAAATAAAAATTAAAAATAATAAAAAATTAAAAAAACATGCACACCCCGTGACCCAGTGATAACTCTACGAGGCTTATACTCCAAGTCAAACAAAGAAGACAGGGACACCATGAACAAAACTATTCATAACAGCTCTTTTCCTAGTGGCAAAGAACTAGAAACTGAGGAGATACCCATCAGCTAGAGAATAGCGGGACAACTTAGGGTATACGAATGTGTGGGAATGCTATTGTGCTGCAGAAACCTGGGAACTGATGCAGAATAAAGTGAGCAGAACCAGGAAAATAATTTATATAGTAACAACAATACTATAAAGACAAAACTTTGAAAGATCTGGGAACTCTGATCAGTGCAATGAAAACCATAACTTCAGAGAACTCTTGATGAAATATGGTAAAGAAAAACCTTCAGATACAGAAGTGGTGGATTCAGAGTGCATATGGAGGTAAATTGTTTTTGGACACGCCTAATGCAGAAATATTTTGCTTGACTATCCATGTTTGTAAAAGGCTTTGCTTTTCTTGTTTTCTTAATTGGGGGAAGGTGGATGTTTGAGGGAGAGAATTCAAAGCTGAATATAAAACTGCATTTCAAAAAAGAAAGTACTTCATACGTACCTCTAAATGTTGTTGTGTTTTCATTAAAATCAATTTATTTTCACTTCGTAACTGATGATTTTCTTCTTGGAGTTTAATGATATTGTTCTTTGCTATTGCTAACTAAATTTGAAGAAAAATGGACAAGAAGAGAGAACATAAACACCTTTTTTTGTTAACAATTCATCACTTAAAATCATTACTAAAATCTTTTTAAACTTGGTTCCCCTGCACAGGATTTATCCATGTGCTCTATGCACCTGCTCCTACTCCCCAAAAAGTTATGCTCAGAAATCTAAGTTAGGGAAAAATAAAATCCTCAAAGAAGGGTTTTATATTCTATACACAAAATCACAGGATCATATGAGCAGAATTTGAAGGGACATTCAAGATCATGTAGGCCAGCTCTCTTTTTAAAGATAGGGCAACTGAGGCTCAGAAAGTCGCCTGGGTGACAAGGCTCACACGCCCCTCGATTTACTGTTGGCAGGCACCTCAGAAGTCATCCTGAGTCCCACCACCACAATTCTACAGATGAAGAAAGGGAGGCCCAGGGGGCGACGAGACTTCCAAGAGTCATTTGGGCAGTAAATGGCTGAGCCAGGATTCACACCCAGGTCCTCTGACTCTAAAACCAAGGCTCTCTGCACACTGTCACTCCCAGCATGGCCCTCAAAGGCACCTGCCTCCCTTGTACTCCTCTTTGCATCTGCCTCACCCTCAACCATCGGAACTTTCTACTCCACAAGAAGGGGCAGGAAGGAGCCACTGCTGCTGCTAATCTAATAAAAATGTGTCTTCTACTCTCCAATCAAATTCAAACTAAAGAAGTGATTTGAAACATTTACTTTTTTTTTCTTTTAGAGTCCTTACAGGAAAGTATAGGGTAAATACACAAAGGCCACTTTGATAAACAGAAGGACTTGAAAGTCATTTCAAACACTCAGTCCTTTAGCAGGTTCATTTTTAAACATTTTTATTACTGAGATGACCACTTACTCAAAAACTCAATAAGAAAGTTCACAGCATCAATTTAAAGGACAAGGGAGGAACAGGAGACACAGAGCAAACATCAGGCCTGTGGCCCCTCTGATTTCTATCAGGCAGTCCACACTAGTATCAATGAATGAATGGGAGTTTACATGGCAAGTCTCCGGGGCAAGAGCAGCATGTTTCCAACACTATAGAGGAGCTCAAAAATGAGTTTCTCCAATCAAGAGTTCTTTATTGAGTAATTAAATTTATGAAAATTTTCTCTGAGGAACCTTAAACGGAAATTTCTCAAGAGCCCCAAGAAAGTCAGAAGTATTAGGGATTATTATTAGTATTATTACATTAAATAGTTAATTTTTCTCTGACATCATGTCTTCAGGGATTTACCAATAAAAGTATGATTAGATGAGCACTTGAGCACAATCAATCAAATTATCTTGGCTCACTAATCCAAGGCCTGAAAAATCTAGATCAACTCAAAAAAATTAAGCTCCAGGTAAGAACAAATTTTAATTAGAAAATAAATTTTATGGCACTAAGTATATTTTTTTCCATATCTACTATTCCAATGATCTCAATAATTATGGGTACAGGCCCATTTTGCTGGCTAATGGGTTTTTCTTCAAACTACTGATAAAGCTTCCTGAATAGGGAATGAATCACAGACCTGGGTTCAATTTGTTTTGCCTCTAATTAGCTTGGAACAATCACCAATACAAACTACTACATGGGGTCATTCTGGTAACAAGAGGGGGAAGTAACTGTATACTAATGCTTGTGAATAAAGTCTTTTGGCTAGACTAAGATAGACAAATCTATTTTATTAGGACAGTATGATTATAAGCAAAAACTAGCTATGGCTAAAGTGATGTTTAAGTACTAACTGCACATCAGCTAAAGGTTGGAGGGGTTAATGCTTTATTTACAATGCCCCAAAGTTTCCTCCTGAGGACCTATTCCCCAAAGCTGACCTACTGAAGCATGTCACAGTCAAGCAGGCCTAACCAGGATTCTGTTTACTTTTTTCCCAGGGATTTAACAAGTTATCTCTATCACAGATATTACACAATGCAGTTTTTATAAGGGCTTACATAAAGTTTATACTTATGATCAGAACAATCATATTATTCAACAGGCCTCTGAAATACAGTTATACGTTACTGGATGTCAATACCTCTTCAATCAGTCTAGTGTTTGACTTTTCTAATGAATCAACTCTCGAATGGAGGCTGCTGACTGTGCTGCTGAAAGTAATAAAGAAATAAATTGTCATTTAAAATTACAACAAACTCAAAGAGGTAAACCCATGTATTATGACAAACTCAGCGCTGGTTGGCATGAGCCAACCTCCCAGCCCAGACTGTGGTTTGGAAGATGTTTTATTTACTCGGATCCTGATTTCATTTCTTGCTTCACTAGGGCAGCAATAACTCTACAGCCAAAGCTTTCGTATACTTTGCATCACAATCTTGTTTAGGGTTTCTTGTTGCTTCACGACTATCCCCCTTTTCAGGTGACATTATCTGTAACTGGCATCAACGTAAAGTTGCATTCTGTAAATTCTGAATAGGGCCCATTTAAATATTATTAAATGCTATTAAAACACAAAAGATGGTTTATATTTGAGTAAATATGGCTGAACCATAGGAGTTAGTGCTGGAAGGAATCTAAGATATTTAATTCAATGGCCCCTCTTTTTATTACTGAAGAAACTAAGTCCCATCAAGGTCAGACGACTTGCCCAAAATCATGCTGTTTGTAGCAGAACTATCAAAATACTTGGGCAATAATTTGCATTTCTACTCTTTAAATCGAAACAGGGGGTCCATGAAGAACACATGTATGGTGATCTCAAATTCTATGCCTGTTTTGGTTCCTCTCTGTATCTTTTTAATACTCAGAGAGGCCTTCCAAAGTAACCCTGGGATTTGGAAATATGGATGGAAAGCATCCTGAAATCTCTAAGCATCAGGAACCCAGTTGGTCTGTACAAAATGTGAGGGTAATTACGGGCATAGGAAATGTTAACAGAACCAACTTGTACTTTTTTTAACCTGTACATATAAGCTTGAAACATTGTGGCTTTTATTTTCAATTTTTAGCTTCACACCTTCTTTTTGCTAGGATTCCAACTTACCTCTAATGAAATGTTACATAGTTTATGTTCACAGAAGGGGTTCACAGAAGATTTTTTTTTCTTTCTTTTATTTTTTTAGGCAATCGGGGTTAAGTGACTTGCCCAAGGTCACAGCTAGTAAGTGCCAAGTGTTTGGTCCGAGGCTGCATTTGAACTCAGGTCCTCCTGACTTCATGGCTGGCGCTCTATCCACTGTGCCACCTAGCTTTCCCATCATAGAAGATTTAACAAACCTTACAGCAGTGTCACTAAGCAAACCTCGGAGTGTGTTAGTTTCACTCCTAAAAGAAGAAAAGCTTCAGATTCTAGTCCCCCCAAACCCAGGTCCCATCATTCTTCTTCAACAGATCACAGGGAAGGATTCATTAACAGCATCTGGAGAATCAATGCTTGACCGGCCACTCCTGGGCCTACACAACGGGGCAGGACTCCATCTTTCTGGCCTTCTCCCATATCTCTGACGTCGATCTACTCCCGGACACAAGGAACTATTCTTTGTTCCTCAACCATGCTTGCATGGCTCTCACCTCCCTAGCTTTGTTTGCACTGTCGCTTAGCCGCCCAACGCCCTGCCTCCCCCTCTTCACTTGCTGAATCCTTGTCTCTCGTTTAAAGTCCAAATCAAACGCCACCTCCTCCAGGAAATCTTCTCTGATCTCCCCATGGTCACACAGGACCATTTCCTTCTGAACACGGACATGTTATTAAGCATTTTTCAAAGGCATTGGTCATGTAATACCATAGACTACGCCCACCTTTGTATAGGTCACATTCCCCTCCTACACGGTAAGCTCCAGAAGACCACAAATTATGCTCTATCTAAATGTGGCGTCTATCCCAATGTCTGGCACAGCATTCCACACCAACCAGGTGCCTTAATATGTGTGGAATAAACCATGTACCTAAATGTAAAGGATGCATTTAGAGACATGGCTCTGGGGAAGGGGAACCACTGCTGTCCCTTCCTCCTGTCAGGTCATTATCCTAGGAGTATGTCCGACAAGATGACTGCCACACAAATCTCAGAATCCTAGATCTGGTCTTCTCCAGCAAAGCTCCCACCCTCGAGCAGCTAGGGGTGAATAAAGGTTCTGAGGTAGAAGGTGGTCGGGGAACAATTACTTTCTGAATTACCAAAATCTTATCAATAATACCCCAAGTTCTTCTGCTTTTCTCAAAATTTAAGGAAAAATAAATAGATTTCTTTAAAAAAAACACCACAACTCTCCAGTGTTCCCTTCCCATTGAAAATGAATCTCGTCTCCAGTAATTTAAATCCAATGACATTTCCTGTTACCAAAGAAGATTTGAGAGGAATAGGGACCAGCTGACCTGAAAGAAATCTAAAGTAATATTTTAAAAATCTATGTATTCTGTGTCCATAAACACTTACTTCAGCTGTCTATTTAATTCTTCAACATAATTCTTCTGATCCAAAATGGCAGCAATTTGAATATTCCTAAAATAGAGGAGCAGTTACCTCAGTGCTTTTATGGAAGTGTATGCACAACAATGCATCATACCATCTAGAAAGAACTATACAAAGATCTTTATAAATTCTGTGACAAGAATGCAGCATTCTTCTACAAACAATAAAAACCAAAAATCCTATAATCACATGATAATGAGCTAAATAGATACATACTCAAATTACAAACATGTGCATATATACACAAACATGCATAAATACATAAAATACTAAAATGGATCTATAATATCGCTGATTTGGGTGTTCCATTAAATAACGCTGATTTTAATCCCTCCATGCCTGTCAGAACTGACTTTTGTCCACGTCTGCCTAGAAATTCACTACAGGAAGTCCACCCAAAGTGCTTACGATGCCTTTCTTATTTTCTCCTGATCTTGAGAAGATACCAAGAGAGCGCTCAGGTGGTCCCACTGACAGTCCCTAACTCTTGCCACAATGATACACTTCCCTAATCCATTCCATAACAATCAGTTACCAAACATTTTACCTAGCAATGCTTTTACCTACTATAGCCAGGCAGGGTACTGAGTGCTAAATGACAGTAATCTTAGTTAAACAAATGGTTTGCTGCACCAGATATAAGAAACAGCACCATTGGTTGATCTGTAAGCAAATGTACTCTTCAACATAAGCTTTTAAAATGTTCCATAGGATTGTACTATCAGATTGAAGCTGCTCCAGTAGAGTACTTCTGTGAATAATTTCTCTCAAATATATCACTGTTCAAAGAGGTCTGGGTGTATACAAACACATCACTGGAAGAAATGAACAAGACTTTTTTTTTAACTGATCTTTCCCACTTGGCTTCATAAAATTCATTTTAAAAAAAATTTTATATTTATTTATTTATTTGTTTGTTTGGCAATTGGGGTTAAGTGACTTGCCCAGGATCACACAGCTATTAAGTCTCAAGTGTTTGGTCTGAGGCCGGATTTGAACTCAGGTCCTTCTGGCTTCAGGGCCGGTGCTCTATCCACTGTGCCACCTAGCTGCCCCCATAAAATTTATTTTAAAAGGGGAAAATGAAGAATGGCAGGAAATCTATTGCAAAATTAACATTAAGTCCCCCATTGTTAATACATATAGCTGAATTAACACTGACTTACACAGAGAATTTATACTGATTTAGACACAGATTTGCGATTTATCACAAAATAAACCAATATATGTGAAACCACTTATGAAGATCATACCTTTCTTTATTTCCAATATCCTCTTCATTCTTTAAATACATAGAAAAATCGATTACCCCAACCTGGAGTAAATAAAATTATTTTTACTTAAATAAGAGGAATGATACAATCTTAGAATAATAAACAATTTTTATCAGAAAGCTTTATTAATATGCACTCAATTATGATCTTAAAAAAGCTTAAAATGACACCATAATATTTGACATTTATGTGGTGCTTTAAAGTTCATAAATGACTTTGTATATGTCCTCATTTAAGGTCTACACACAACCCTTGGGGTAGATATTGGTGTCTTATTTTTATAGATAAGAAAAGTGAAGTAGAGAGGCAGAATTTGAACTAGGTCTTCTTAACTCTAAAGCAATCACTATGACTGTTTCATTCTGTTTGTCCCTTCTTAAGCCCAGTTCTGAATATTATTTCTCACTTGCCTGCGAGTCCAAGTCTTCTCCCTTCACACACAGATTGGCATCGATCACATTCAGGCCTACCAAAAGCCCAACGATAACTGCTCCTTCTTCTTCCATCATGAGGGCATGATATTCATAGAATTCACTGACAAATTCAACAAAAGGCAAATCACAAATTCATCTCAAGCAATGAATTTTAAAATCTGGCCAGAGAAATACATTTTCAGACTGACACAAAATAAGTAACTTTTGAGAAATTAAAAATTACTTTTCAAATCGTAGACTTATGAAGGAGATAATAATGAAGGGCTGAAAACGGAAACTGAATACTACTATCAAGGCAGGTCATCAAAGCAGGACGAATACAAAAACTTTGCCCAATGCCTTTCCCAATAAGCTCAAATGTTTTATTCAATTATCTCATTGCTAATTAATTCTTGGACCAAAAAAACAAAAACAAAACAAAATTAATTCTCGGACTATCCTTATGAAGTTATACTTACTTATAACTCTCATCCCAATTAAAAGAGAGGAAAACCAAGATCTGATGACTTACTCATGGTCACATAACAACAGAGGCAACTAAAAACCAAAACCAGAATCTAGCTTTCCTGACTCTCTCCTCAAAAGGAAAGGCACAAATAGAATTTTATCTACTACTCCTAAAAAAAAAAAAGCCTAAAGGCTTTCCTATTTGACCTTACATCCACGCTTAAAATTTTTTATTTAGAATGCAAAAGAAAGAACTTATGTTTAGCTAGGTATTGCTAGAAAAGGAAAGGACTGTGGTATTAAAATTAATATTCCAATACAAATGGATATTCAGAAAAATAACTGATTCAAGAAAATAGAATTAGCTTTAAAAAATTACTAACCATACTAGTTACTAACCTTAGGAGATCTCTTTGAATTATCAAGCAGCGCAGATAATCAGCCATTTTCTTTTGCATGAGGGCCAATCGTAACCATGCTCTGGCACGACCCAGGGGTGTCCTAGAAAAATCAAGCAAACAGACCAAAAAGCAACTTCAGTAACTTAAAGTCATTAACTACAGAACTAATCTGTTAAGAGACACATTTGGGGGGGGGGCGGGGAATAAAAAACCAGCAATTCATTTACAATTTGGGGCCAATTTCTGCAGTGAGTGAAATCTCTAAAATCCCTGGAAGTCATTTGTTTGCCTCGATGAAGAGCATTCCTCTAGGACACCAAAAGGCAAGTGCTTTCAAGAAGTAACTCACTATAGAGAAGCTTCTTTCTGTTTAACACAGAGGTGGGGACCTACAGGTGCTGAATGTTGCATATGTGGTTTTCTTTGGCTTTACTATTTATTGACCTTGGGGTGCTGGGCAGGCCACTTTCCTTCTGGGCCTCAGTCTCATTCTCCATAAAACGGGGGGGGCCAGAACTAGGTCATTTCTAGGGTCCTTTCCATCTTTAAGTTTTTTTACCCTATTTTAAGACAATTTGCCTAATTAGAATAATTTAGTCAGCAGATCAGACCTTCAAAAATGAACAATAAAAATGCCATCATTAAAATGCACTTACCCAACTGCCTGACAAGTGTACTGTTTAATGAATGCTTAGTCATTCAAACTGAAACTGTTCCAGGGCAAGACAGATACATTAAGAAAAAATTCAGACCATATTTGAATAGAAAACGTAAATAGGCTCAGCATATGTCCCGGTGAATTCAATTCATTTCAACAAATTCAATTTAATAGAATAGTGCCTGCTACATGGAAGGCACTATGCTAAGTACTGGAAGGTAAGTTTACTTAAAGAGAAATATTCACAAATGTTTCAACTAGATTTGTTTATTGTTAGAGCTGAAAGGAACTTGAAAGACTTAAAAACACCTCAACTTTATAGATTAAGAAAAGGAAGCCCAGACTTCCGGGAGCCAAGATAGTGGAGTGAAAAGGTAGTCGCTCTCACTCTCCCCTATCAACCTCTGAAAACCCAGAAAATATCACCCAGAAAAAAACCCTGGAACAGCTGAACTAGAAGAAAGAGAGGAGCAGCAGTGCAGCAGCCCAGCAAATGGGTCTCCCAGTGCCTCAGCAAAAATAAGGAAGCAACTACAAGGGGCCCCAGGCAGATAAGTACCCTGCAGCATTCATCTGAAAGGAGTGAAGAAAGAAAACCTAAAACCAGCCTTGCTGATTCCAGCCAACACCAGGTGAGCTGTCAGAACCTCCAATTGTGAAGAATCCTGAAGCCCAGGTGGTAGAGCAGGCAAACACCAACACCTGGACCTCCAAGTGCCTCAGGGGAACGGTGGAAACCAGCTCAGAAAAACCACCAGGTGCCTGCACTCTACCACAAAGGAATCTCCCAGTGCATTAGCAGAAGAGGAGAGACAACACTGCAGGGGCCCCAGGCAGATAAACACCCTGCAGCACCCATCTAAAAGGAGCTGAAGAAAGCTAAAGGAAAGGAAAAGCAGGCAACCTAGAATTGCCTGAAAGTTCCAGCCTTGCTGATTCCCCCAACAGAGGTAAGCTGCCAGAAACCTACAGCCTCCAATTGCCAACATAAGAGGCCCCAGCACACAAAGCCAGTGACCAAGACCTAGGCTCCCAACACAAGAAGCTTGGGTCAGTGCCCTCTGTTCCCCAGCAGGAGAGCTCAATCTCTTTAAAGGCCAGGGAATAAAGAAACACCATGAGTAAAAAGAAAATACCATAGATTCATATTATGAGAAGAGTGAAGATCAAGACAGAAATTCTGAAGAGGACAACATTGTCAACAAACCCACATCTGCAACATCAAAAGGGAATATGAACTGGTCTGAAGCCCAAAAAGCCTTCTTAGAAGAGCAGAAGAGCGATTTAATAGTCAAATGAGAGAGGTAGAAGAGTCCTTCAAAAATACAATTGGCCAATTGGAAAAAAAATACACTGAAAAAAACAAGTCCCTAAAAAACACAATTGGCCAATTGAAGAAGGAAGTACAAAAACTAACAGAAGAAAACAATCTGTTAAAAACTAGAATTGGACAAATGGAAACTAATGTCTCTATGAGAGAGCAAGAATCAGTCAAACAGAAACAAAAAAAAAAAAATAGATGAAAATGTAAAATACCTCATCAGTAAAACAACCGACCTGGAAAATCGATCAGGAGAGACAATTTAAAAATTATTGGACTACCTGAAAATCATGATGAAAAAAAGAGCCTGGACAGTATCTTTCAGGAAATCATAAAGGAAAACTGCCCAGAAGTCCTAGAACCAGAAGGGAAAATAACCATAGAAAGAATACTGCACCACCTGAAAGAGATCCCAAATTGACAATGCCAAGGAATATAATAGCAAAATTCCAAAATTACCAGATGAAAGAGAAGGTGCTGCAAGCAGCCAGAAAGAAACAATTTAAATATCATGGAACCACAGTCAGGATTACACAGGAGCTTCTACATTAAAAGACCACAGTGCGTGGAACATGATATTCCATAAGGCAAACTTGGACTGCAGCCAAGGATCAATTACCCAGCAAAAATGAGCATCATTTTTCAAGGGAGGAGATGGATATTCAATGAAATAGGAGACTTCCAAACTTTCCTGATAAAAAGACCAGAGCTCAACAAAAAATTTGATCTTCAAGTACAGGACTCAAGAAGGACTTAAAAAGGTAAATGGGACAGAAAGATACAATATGTTGTTAATAAGGGGGGCTGTTTCCCCTACAAGGGAATATGACACTTGCAACCCTTGAGAACTGTATTGTTATTACACATTTAAAGGAGTATACATAAAGAGGGTGGATATTAGTTGACTTTGATGTAATGATAAAAAAAAATCTAATCAAGTGGGTTAAATGGATCCAAATAAGTGGATCAATCTGATCTTAGAAAATGTACTGAGAAAGGAGGAGGCAGACAAGGGTAAATTACATTACAGGAAAAGACACAAAATCCTATTACAGCAGAGGGAAAGAAGAGGGGGAGCATTGTTTGAACCTTACTCTCATCAGATTTGGCTCAAGAAGGGCATAAATAATCAGTTAGGTATAGAAATCTAACTTGCCCTATAGGCAGTAGGAGGGAAAAGGGGAAAGAAAAGGGAGGGGAAAGAAAAGGGGGGGGGAAAGAAGGGAGGGAAGAAGCAGTAAGAGTAAAGGGGAAGAAAAGGGATAAAAGGGGAGGGACTGAAGGAGGTGGTCAAAAGCAAAACACTAGTGAAGGGGGGAAAAAGGAGAAAGAAAAGCATAAATGGGGGAAAGGATGGAGAAAAAGACACAGATAGTAATCATAACTGTGAATGTGAATGGGATGAACTCTCCCATAAAACGGAAATGGATTGCAGAATGGATTAAAAACCATAATCCTACAATATGTTGTTTACAGGAAACACATTTGAAAAAGAGTGACACATACAGGGTAAAGGTAAAAGGCTGGAGCAGAATATATTATGCAGCTGAAGTAAAAAAAGCAGGGGTAGCAATCCTGATCTCAGACAAAACAAAAGCAAAAATAGATCTAATCAAAAGAGATAAGGAAGGAAACTACATCCTGCTAAAAGGCACCATAGACAATGAAGTAATATCATTACTAAACATATATGCACCAAATGGTATAGCATCCAAATTCTTAGAGGAGAAGTTCAGGGAGTTACAGGAAGAAATAGACAGCAAAACTATACTAGTGGGGGACCTGAACCTCCCCTCTCTGCACTAGATAAATCTAACCACAAAATAAACAAGAAAGAAGTTAAGGAGGTGAATAGAACATTAGAAAAGTTAGGTATGATAGACCTCTGGAGAAAACTGAATGGGGATAGAAAGGAATATACTTTTTTCTCAGCAGTACATGGCACATACACAAAAATTGACCATGTACTAGGGCATAAAAACCTCACAATCCAATGCAGAAAGGCAGAAATATTAAATGCATCCTTTTCAGATCATGATGCAATAAAAATTATATGTAATAAAGGGCCATGGAAAGATAGACTAAAAAATAATTGGAAACTAAATAATCTAATCCTAAAAAATGATTGGGTCAAACAACAAATCATAGAAACAATCAATAATTTCATTCAAGAGAATGACAATAATGAGACAACATACCAAAACCTATGGGATGCAGGGAAAGCAGTTCTTAGGGGAAGTTTTATATCTCTAAATGCTTACATAAATAAAATAGAAAAAGAGGAGATTAATGAATTGGGCATACAACTAAAAAAAAGAAAAAGAACAAATTAAAAATCCTCAACTAAACACAAATTAGAAATATTGAAAACCAAAGGAAAAATTAATAAAATTGAAATTAAGAAAACTATTGAACTAATAAATAAAACTAAGAGCTGGTTTTATGAAAAAACAATAAAATAGATAAACCTTTGGTTAATTTAATTAAAAAAAGAAAGAAGAAAACCAAATTACTAGTATCAAGAATGAAAAGGGTGAAGCTACCACCAAGGAAGAGGAAATTAAAACAATAATTAGGAATTATTTTGCCCAACTATATGCCAACAAATTTGACAATCTTAGTGAAATGGATACATATTTACAAAAATATAAATTGCCCAGATTAACCGAAGAGGAAGTAAAATACTTAAATAACCCCATCTCAGAAAAAGAAATTGAACAAGCCATTGATGAACTCCCTAGGAAAAAATCTCCAGGGCCAGATGGATTTACATGTGAATTCTATCAAACATTTAAAGAACAATTAATTCCAATACTATATAGACTATTTGGGAAAATAGGTGAAGAAGGAGTCTTACCAAATTCTTTTTATGATACAAATATGGTGTTGATACCTAAACCAGGAAGAGTCAAAATAGAGAAAGAAAATTATAGACCAATTTCTCTAATGAATATAGATGCAAAAATTTTAAACAAAATACTAGCAAATAGATTGCAGCAACTTATCACAAGAATAATACACTATGACCAGGTAGGATTTATACCAGGAATGCAGGGTTGGTTCAATATTAGGAAAACTATCAGCATCATTGAGCATATCAACACCAAAACCAACAGAAACC